ACATATGATATTTCTATTTTTAGTTTTTCAGGAGTCTCCATACTGCTTTCCATAGTGTGAGCTCCTACTCTTAATCCCACCTCTTTTATGAAGCCTCACTGGTCACCTCAATTCAATATAGTCTTTCCTTTCCATGTCTTCGACAGCACTATTCACAATTGGCCTGGCATTGTGATTGTGGTTTTCTAGGTCCTGTCTATCTTGCTTACTAGACTGTGAGAACCTTCAGAGTCGGGAGCATATCTTATTTATTTATTTATCTCTATATCTTTTTCTAGCATAGCACCTTACATGTTAGTAGCCAGTAAAAATTTATTGATTTGAATTGTACTTGAATGAAGAACCTGTAACTACAGCAAAAGGTGAACATAACTTTCACATAGCTGATTTGAAGACCAAGAGTTTATTTATCTTCTCTGGTGCTTAGCTCATAGCAGATGTTTAGTAAATATTAATCAAGTTCAGCCCAAACATGTTTGTATATTTTTATATTTGCCATTGGCTAGATTTGACTGACCTAAATGTAAATGAGAAGCAGCAGAATTCAGGTCAGAAAAGGTACGAAGGAGCTAGAATTACCTCAGGTATAGGTGGAAAATTCTTAGAGAATCTGAAGAGATGGGTTCTAAGCCCCACCTTTAAATTGCTTTGTGATCCTGGGTAATTTTCTTCTGCTTTTTGGACCTCAGTATTCCTACTGTTATATGAGGGGGTCAGATTAGATGACCTCTAAGGTTGATTCTGGCTTTGATGTTATGTGTATCTTAAAATCTTTGATTATCTTGGCTCTATTTTATACTAGTAGCTGTGGAATCCAGATGTGATAAGGTGGAAAGAGGTAGTTTTTGTTGAGCACACTCCTTCCCTTAATCACTGTCCAGTTTCATTCATTATGTAAAGTACCTTACACTTAGTGGCTACTTGAAAAGTGTTTTCTTTCCCTTCTTTCTACTCTAGCGTTGTATCTTTATGCTTTTTACAGCATGCTTTATGCTTTTTATAGCAAAAGAGATGCAAACCGCTTCCCTTTCTTGGTTGGGTCTCGACCAGTATTTGTTGTGCAACTGAGTAGTGGGAAACATCATATTGCAGCTCATCGGTGAAGGGACTTCTAGAAGGCCGTAGCTAGTAAATAGCAGAGCCAGAATTTAAACTCAGGTTTTCTAATTTTAACTCCAGTCATCTTTTCAGTATATCACCCTACCACTGGCTCTTTTGAAACCTCAGTGACCCTGCATTTATTATAGAGCCATTCAGTTGATTCATAATCAAGTATAATTAGTTGCTCATAAATTATTAGGCACCCTGAGCCTCTTGGAGCATTGGTAAAATGTGGTCAGTCTGTCTTCCTCTCTGTTACATCAGTTTGTTGTCTAGGACGGATAGAGAGGTACCATCTGAACTATCGTTCTAAATGTTGGCTTTGGGCCTAGCTTTATGTCACAGCACATCAGAAGGCATTGGTTTGTCATCATCCCAAATCTTTGGCCTGCGGAGACTGTTAGATTTAAGATGTCTTTAGTCTTCTTATTTAAGAGTTGAGTGTGTCTCTTCTTTCCCTCTCAGGATTGATGTTTTAGATTTGTTTTCCTGTAAACAAAGTTTAAGATAGTGTAGGTTTTAAAATGTGCTGAGTATAGATGGATAAAATTACCAGTGAGGGGATCTATGAAGTGTAGAGAGAGTAAAGACGTGGAGAAACCATAGAAAGGACTGGTTGGAGGGCTGCAGGGAAATTGGAAAGTAGTATAGAAACATTAAGTCCAAGTAAGTTCAGAGGGAAGGATCAAGAAGGCATAAAGTTGTGTCTGTGTGTGTAGTTGAAGGTACTGGCGGTGTTTAGCATTGAGAAAATAGATTTGGGAGGGTCTTGAAAGACGATTTAAAGTATCTAAAGTTCTGTCTGGGGAAGAGGCAATAGACTTTTCTGAATAGCCATAGGAGATAGGATTTAGGACCGAAAAATGGAAGTAGTTTTTGTTTGTTTATTCATTTATTTGTTCACTTGTTTTTTTATTTGTTCATTCATTCAACACATCGATTTTATTGATTACCTGTTCTGTGCCAGGCATGGTGTTGGGGATTGTGAAATAAGTAGAACTGAACTTTGTTCTTAAGGAGTTCATAGTCTAAGTCTGGTAGGGGAGGGGAGTGTACAGGGAGACAGATGTGCAAACAAGTATCGCAATGCCGTGTGGGATAGATAGAACTTAATGTAAGTGAGAACTCTAAATGAGGTGACCAAGGATAGAGTAGGCTGACTTTTGAGACTGTAGCTTTCCTGTCACTGGAGGTTTTCAAGCATAGGCTGAATAATCTGGGCTGGAATGTGGTACAGAGGATTTTAAACATTGTATTGTAACAACAGATTTTAAGTTTTAAGTAATTTGGAATCTTTTTAAAAGTGGAGATCTACTCCTGAGAATTCTCCAAGCATCGTGAAAGAACTAAGAAATGCCTGTGTTGGAAAGGTTGATGAAGCCTTTATGGCACAATCCTGGGTTGTAGTCCTGAAAGAGAGTTACGTTCAATGAAGCTGTTGGCTGAAGGACCTAAGAGGCGAGGAAGGGCCTGTTTAGGGTATCAGGTGGCTGCAGGGAGTATAATTTTGGAACTGGCAGTCCGGAGTGGGAAGGTAACACTTGAGAACTGAGCCAGTAGAAATTCTTTTTGGGGGAGCTGAGGGACTTGTGTTGGTGCTGGGAGGGAAAGCAAAGGCAAGTCTACAAAGGGAAACTGGAAGAAATGGACAAACTCACACCACCCAGAGAGTTGATCTAGATTAACAAGATAGTCCTTGCTTACTTGATTTCTTTTCTTCACAAAGAAAAGTAAGGAGCAGTTGGTTTGCCAGAGGTATGTCAGGATGAATTATACAGAGAGGTGAAGTTTGAATATTAGTCAGAGGAGGGAGAAATCATTGACAAGAAGCACTAAGGGGTCAAGAGGAAAGTAAGAGACTACTTGGCAAATTGCAGAGAACAGACATTTCTGAGGTGTAGTTTGAATGTAGGCTGTGTCCAGGAGTGGTGGCTTAGTTTGTAAGGCAGGCTGATGTTAGATTGTGAAGGGCCTTAGAGTTTCATCTGTACTAAACTCCTTAAAGGCAAGGTATATATCCCTGTGCAAAGTTTTGATTAATTAAAATATTTGATTGAATCCACTCTGAGTCAGCTACTATACTAGGTACTTTTGGATTGGAAAGGTGAGAAAATCGGGCCCAAACTTAGGGAAACATTCTACCTTCTGGTGAAGATAATTATAACATAGTGAAAATAAATGTGACGACCTTAAAGTAAACCCATTGCCTTGGGAGTCTAGAGGAGGGGGCACCTAACTTCTTGGAGGTGAGAACATTTCCAAAGGGCTTCATGGCATGTCTAGAAAGGACTGAGGGAAAAGATAGATGTAGGGGATCATTTAGTTCTGCATTTATTAGAAAATACTAAAAAGACTCCTATGCATTTTGTTCATAGCATTTAAGTAATTGATATCTAAAGCAGCGGTACTCAGGGGCCAGCCCAGTGGCATACTGGTTAAGTTCCCACGCTCCACTTCGGTGGCCTGGGGTTCATTGGTTCGGATCCTGGGCACAGACCTATGCACTGCTTATCAATCCATGTTGTGGCAGGTGTTTCACATATAAAGTAGAGGAAGATGGGCACGGATGTTAGCTCAGGGCTAATCTTCCTAAAAAAAAAATAAAATAAAAAATAAAGCAGTGGTATTCAAATCTGGCTGGCATTAGGATCATAATTTTTAAAATTACAGAATTTTGGCCTTAACCTAGCCATGCTAAATCAAAACTTATGAGGGTCAAACCAAGGCATCTATATTTCTAAAAAGCTTTTGATGATTATTATGCAGGTTTTTGTCTTTTTTAATCAGAAACTTTAGTCTCTAAAGCACTGTTGTGTTTGACTCCAAGGAGCTTACATTCTAAGTAGTCATGGTTAAAGATATAATTTCTATTGTAACATGGAAGAATAATGAGAAACTTTATTAACTCAAGATACATTCATGTCTATCCACTCTCAAGGACCCTTATTTAAAGTAATAATATCTATCTTCATTAAAATTATTGGTACCATGTGACAGGGATTTTTTTCTCTTTCTTTTAGATTTTATTCCTTCTGTTTCTTGGAAGCATTGGAGATAGCCAGTAAATTCAACACCATACAGGACAGGGTAGTTACTGCATTGATTATCATATATTTAGAACAAGGTCAAATTTTAGAGGAAGGAGATACTGGAGAGATGATGTAGGCCAGGGGTCAGCAAACTTTTCCTATAAAGGAGCAGATATTAAATATTTTAGGTTTATGGGCATACAGTTTCTATCGCAACTACTCAACTCTGCCATTGGAATGTGAAATAAGCCATAGACAGTATGTAAATGAATGGGTGTGGCCGTGTTCCAATAAAACTGTTTACAAAACTGTCAGCTTTACTGACCCTTGATCTAGTGATACAGTCTGTTCCAGATAGGGAATGTGAGTTACCTAAGGTTATAAAATTAGAGATTGTCAGAGAACTCACCATGGGGAATGCTCTTGGCAGTTTTATTTAATCTTCATGTGAACAAACAAATGGAACCCAATAAATGGAACCCAATGTGAATGAATAAATTCAGTCCAAATTAAGGAATTTCTCTAAAGCTAGTAAGTGGTGTTGAGATTTGTACTTAGTTTAGCTGGGCCAGATTTCTGTCTTTTAAACTACATCATGGTGGTTTTCTGTGCTCTCCAATGCCTTCTATAGGGAAATGCAGAGAAAAGTAAGAACTTTTTGAATTTTCGGCAGTGCTTGGCACAGACTAGGTATCACATCTTTGAGAATTGTTGACTGAATAAGATGGCAGTAATCATGGTACGCAGTGGAAGGACTTGAGCTGGGTGCTGGAGGAAGGGTTGTATATTTGGATTCTTTTAAATTTTTCAACATGTATTTCCTTTTGCTCAAAAACAGTAAAAGAGGTTTGTTCTTCTTTCTGATTTCAGTAGCTGCTGGTGGTGGTGACAATGTCAAATAACGGCTTAGACATTCAAGACAAACCTCCAGCCCCTCCGATGAGAAACACCAGCACTATGATTGGAGCCGGCAGCAAAGATGCTGGAACCCTAAACCACGGTTCCAAACCTCTGCCTCCAAACCCAGAGGAGAAGAAAAAGAAGGACCGATTTTACCGATCCATCTTAGCTGGAGATAAAAGTACAGTATTTCGTTTCTTTCTCATCATTTGTATACTTAAAAAAATGTGTTTTTTGTAACCTGGGTAAAAGATTTGTCCTTTCCTTGACTTAATTTTCCTTTAATACTTTTTTCCCCACCATTAAATACTTCGCTTGTCTTTCTTTCCTAAAGTGGCTGGAGTCAAATGGAAAATAGACCCATTTTATACTCTGTTAACCTTATCTGAGCCAAATTCTAAGAAAGTAATTATGCTCTTGCCAGATTATGGACAATCTGAAGTTATGTATTTAATTACTTTTTAAGTTTTTAAATTGTTTATGAACTCACAAAATATATAAGAAATAGGAAATGTCTTCATTTGGAAATGTGTTTTTTTCCAAACTAGTTTCATTTGGAATGTCTTCCTTCCAGATTCTTGTTTGCCTCTTTATTCATATGTCCCGATCTCACCCCCAGATTTGGGGATTAAATATTAGTAAGAAGGACAAGTAATAGCTGAGAAAAGGAAGCTGAGAAAGAGAAGCAGGGCTCAGCATGAGTTTGCTAAGAATAAGTCACACTAGGCAGGCTCATTTCCTTTTTATTGAGAAAACTTCTAGAAGAATAGTGAGGATTTTAACAGTGTATCTGATAAAGTCACTGAGATCCTCTGGACAAGAGAGTGAAATAGAGGTTTGGATATTATCACATGGATAGATGACTTCTGTTTGACCCCCTCCCCCCAAGTATTTATTTACATGGTTGTTGATATGAGGTAAAGTTCTTAGTCACGCTTGCGGGGCCTTGTTCTTGTGGCATGCTGAAGAAATTGGCTTCTGTTTGTACATAGTTATCATGAGCTTCTGATTTAGACCTGGTTCAAATCCTGGATCCATCACTTACCAGCTCTCTCACCTTAGGTATGTCAGTTAACTCCTCTGGATTTTAGTTCCCTATCTCTAGAAAAGGTTGGGATTTTCCTGTCTCTAAAATTGGGATATCTCACAAGATTGATGTGTGAAGATTACATGCAAAGTTCCTAATATGGTAGTCAAATGTTAGGTCCTTTTCCCTTTACTCCTTTGTTGAAGCTGGGAGATGTAGCTAGTAGACTACACGATAAAATCAGAATTGGGATTCTGAAACAGGAGACCAAATATATCAAGCACAGTGGTGAACTGCAGAAAATATCTTAAGTTGCGGAAATATATAGCTGTGTAACTATAGATCAGGGGAGATGGTAGATAATAGTATCTTTAACCAAATAGGGAACACAGGAAGAGAAACAAGTCAGGAGGATTGGAGGCTGCAGAGCAGGGAAGATGATGACTTTAAACACACTGCATTTGAGGTAAAAAGATAATTTTAGACACTGCATTTGAGATGTCTTGACAGAGAGATGTCTAATAGGCAGTGATCTTATATATAGGAAATGACCATTGAATAACTGAAATGAGAACCATTGAAACCTTTCATTGAGTACTTTGGGCTTGTATCTTTGTGTGTGTTTGCCCTTTCCTCTACTTCACCTGCAGTATGAGCTCTTTTGGGGTCTAGATAGAAGAGATATGGGTAAGTTGCTTAACTTGCGTTTTCTGGTTAATTCATTTATATAGTAGCTGTCAACTTCCTAGGTACAGGGGCTATGATCTTGATGGTGTTACCATGCCCTGGAACCTTCTCCCACATATGTAGCCACTTTGTTTATCCCTTAATTAAAGTGTGTGCTTATTTTTAATATAGTGCTTTATCAACTATTATTCTTGATCTCTATAAATAAGTAGGCCTTTAGCCCAAGTTTCTACATATAGTAAAGAGGACTTTTTTTTTTTTGAAAGATTTTATTTTTTCCTTTTTCTCCCCAAAGCCCCCTCGGTACATAGTTGTGTATTCTTCGTTGTGGGTTCTTCTAGTTGTGGCATGTGGGACGCTGCCTCAGCGTGGTCTGATGAGCAGTGCCATGTCCACGCCCAGGATTCGAACCGACGAAACACTGGGCCGCCTGCAGCGGAGCGCGCGAACTTAACCACTCGGCCACGGGGCCAGCCCCAGTAAAGAGGACTTTTAAAATTAAAAATTGAAAAGTTTGGAATTGTTCTTGCTGACACACTAGGAAGATAATAAGATTCCTGCCCAATAGGTATCATCAAAATTAAAAACTTGTGTGCTTCAAAGGACACCATCAAGAAAGTAAAAAGGTAAGCCACAGAATGGGAGAAAATGTTCCCAAATCTTGTATCTGATAAGGGACTTGTTTGAAAAATCTATAAAGAACTATTACAACTCAATAATAAAAAAAAGACAGCCCAATTTAAAAATGGGCAAAGGATCTGAATAGATCTCTCTCCAAAGAAGATATACAAATGGCGAATAAGCACATGAAAAGATGCTTAAAATCATCAGCCATCAGGGAATGCAAATCCGAACCACAGTGAGATACCACTTCACATGGTAGGATGGCTATAATAACCAAACAGATAATAACAAGTGTTGACAAGGATGTGGAGAAATTGGAACTCTTATACACGGCTCGTGGGAATGTAAAATGGTCCAGCCACTGTGGAAAAGTCTGGCAGTTTCTTAAAAGGTTAAATATAGAATTAACCCTATGATCCATAAATGAAAACATATGTCCATGCAAAAACTTGTATAGTCACGTGTCACTTAACGACAGGGATACTTTCTGAGAAATGCATCGTTAGGCAGTTTCATCATTGTGTGAACATCATAGTGTGTACTTACACAAACCTAGATGGTATAGCCTACTACACATCTAGGCTATATGGTACTAATCTTAAGGGACCATTGTCGTATATGTGGTTCATCGTTGACTGAAATGTTATGCAGCACATGACTGTACATGAATGTTTATAGCAGTATTATTCATAATAGCCAAAAAATGGAAAGAACCCAAATATCCATCAGCTGATGAATGGACAAATAAAATGTAGAATATCCATACAGAGAAATATTTGGTAACAAAAAGTCCTAATTCATGCTATGACATGGGTAAACCTTAAAAACATTGTGTTAGTGAAAGAAGCCAGTCACAAGGGACCACATATTGTATGATTTTATTTATATGAAATGTCCAGAATAGGCAAATCTGTACACAAAAAGTAGATGAGCCTGGGGCTGTGGGGTGAGGCAGATGGGATTAGGGTGTGATGGCTAAGTATGGGGTTTCTTTTTGGGGTGATGAAAATGTTCTAAAATTGATTTGAGAGATGGTTGCCCAGCTCTGTGAATATACTAAAATCCTCTGAATTGTGCTCTATATGGGTGAATTTTATGGTATGTGAATTGTATCTCAATAAAACTCTTTTAAAAGAAGAAGATTCCTATTAAAACAGCAGATGGAAGCATAACCTTCAGACATTGGGAACTGAAGGGATGATCTTATGTACTGAATGGGGAAGTGGGGGTCTGAGTATCTGAGTTGTAGTCTTGGTTCTCCCATTAATTGTCTGCCTGATTTGGGTCAATTACTTCTCTGTAGACTTCAGTGCCTTCATCTAAAAAATTAGAGTCAAACCAGTAGACATATACATTCTTGTAGCTTTGAAATCCTGTGATTACATAAATGAGATATTATAAAGATGAAGTTCAATCAGGTCGTATATGTAGGTGAAAAGAAACTAGGCCATTGTAAAGTACTGTGGTAAAGCTGTAGATGTTCTACTGGAAGTCCTTGCTGAGAGACCCTAGGCCAAATCTGGTCTGAAAATAAATCTCATAGCTCAAGATGAGAGCTGCATTTCTATAAATTCAAAGCATAGGGATAGAAAGCATAGAGTTATAAGAAGTTCTTATGAAATGATCTAGTAACCTCTTTCATCCTTTATAGATTTTCTATACATGCCCTGAGCACATAGGTTTCACCCCTTTCCTTTAGACCCTAGATGGCTATAATTAAAATGTACATCAAAATGAAATAAGTGAGGTTTTTTCCCTTTTATTAAGAGCCTTTTTCAGCTTGATGTTGTGCTTGTTGATATTATAGTTCAACCAGTAAGCCTTTGTTGACCTGCTGCTTTGTGCTTAATTTAGTTGTAGCTGGATACGCAGTGGTGTTGGCAGTCTTTGAAGTGGTATGCCCTTCCTAAAGTATTTGAGAATTTATACCAGCTCCATAGAGAAATGGTCCAGAACTGGACTTAGAGAACCTAGATTGAGTCCTACCTCTGACATTTATTAACTACGATTTTTTCCCTCTTACCTATTTATTTTAATTCTAATATCCTCATCTGTAAAGTGGGAATTGGTCATCTAATGGTTAAGATTCAGTGCTCTCACTACCGTGGCCTGGGTTCATTTCTGGGTCAGGGAACCACACTACTCACATGTCAGTTGTCATACTGTGGCAGCTGTGTGTTGCTGTGATGCTGAAAGCTATGCCACTATTATTTTAAATACCAGCAGGGTCACCCATGGTGGAAAGGTTTCAGCAGAGCTTCCTTCCAGACTAAGACAGACTAGGAAGAAGGACATGGCCTCCCACTTCTAAAAAATTGGCTATAAAAACCCTATGGATAGGAGCAGAGCATTGTCTGATATAGCACTGAAAGGTGAGAGGATGGTGTGAAAAGACTGGACAGGCTTCCACTCTGCTGTAGACTGGGTCACTAGCAGTTGGAATCCACTCAAGGGAGTTAACAACAACAACAAAGTGGGAATAATTATAATTCCTATCCATCCCATATCATTAGTAGGCTTTTGTTGTTTGACATGGTGGATGTAAAAGCATTTTCTAAACTGAAAAATACTATACAAAGTTTTTTTTTTTTAAAGGAAAGTTCATTTCTTGTTTTATGTGATACTCACAGCAACTCCTTTTCAGCTGGAGAGGCTGAGGCCTAGAGAAAAGTAAATTGTTCAAGGTTTCACGGCTGGAAAGTGGCAGAGATGCATGTGGAACTGTCCTCCTAAAGTATCTGTTACATCATAACATGCTATCTCTGTTAGTTGTTCTCAACCCACGTTACACATCTGACTCACTCGTAGTGCTTTTAAAAAATAGAGATGCCTAGATCCCACCCTGACTTTTGGAGCCGGAATTTCCAAAGGTGTAGTTTTGAGTCTCTTAAGATTTGGGAGATGAGAAAGAAGAGTTCTCTGTGGGCTGTAATTGTGGTTGAGATTTGAGCTGGCAATGGGTAGAATGTCTGTGGGTATTACCTAATGCTGACCTCCAGCATGGCTGCAGCGTGTGCCTGGGGGAATGCATAAATGATTGGAAGAAGCTGCAACTGAGAGCTTGTAATAGGTGGCGCTGAGTTGCAGAATTCCATGTGGGAAAGCCTGGTTCCTGTGGTTAGGATCTGGAGCCTTTGGTTTATTCTAAGAAGTCCTGAAGCATTTAGTTTGGAATCCTTTTCTGACTGCATTTCTACGACCACAGTGGAATTCTCCGAGCTTGGGAAGAGTTTAGCAAAGTTAATTTTAAAACTGGACTACGTCAGGTTTATCTCTCCAAGTTTGGAGTGTTTTACTGCCTTGAGCTCAGATTAGCTCAGCTGACCAAATGAGAGGTACTTCCTAAAAATAAATCTTTTAAAAAAATAAATAAGGCCAGTGATTTGTGCCGAAACTTGGAGGGCTGTACCGCAACATAGGATTCTGCAGTGTCAGCCTTATTTGCCATGCTATCAGAAGCCAAATAGACAAGGCCAAAGACAGGGTTAAAGTTAGGATGAGTGAGGTTGCAGGCTTCTTTTCCACTTTATTTCCTCCATCCTATGATCTCTAGTTACATGAAATCAGGAGGATTCTTTCTTCTTTCTCCTCAGCCACAGTTTTTCTGTCTTAATGAGCGGGGAGAGGAAACTTTACTCTGACACTTTCTTATGATAAACTCGTCTTTGTAAAGCTCTTTAGCTTACAAAGCACATACGTTTTCTTTACCTTAATTGATCCTCAAAATAATAATGAAAATAGTAGTAGTAATAAACAGTAATAACGCAATAGTAATAACCATAAAATAGTAACAACAATAATCCAGCTACTATTTATTTATTTATTTATTTATTTTGAGTAAGATTAGCCCTGAGTTAACTACTGCTAATCCTCCTCTTTTTGCTGAGGAAGGCTGGCCATGAGCTAACATCTGTGCCCATCTTCCTCTACTTTATACATGGGATGCCTACCACAGCATGGCATGCCAAGTGGTGCCATGTCTGCAACTGGGATCTGAACCGGCGAACCCCAGGCCGCCGAGAAATGGAACGTGTGAACTTAACCACTGTGCCACCAGGCCAGCCCCCCAGCTACTATTTATTGAATGCCTGTTGGTTACTACACATTATATTAGGAGCTTTGATGTTTGTGAAATATACCAGTCCTTTCAGGTAGATAAATATTTCATTTTGTAAACAGTAAACTGAGGTTCATAGTGATTAAGTAACTTACCCAAGGTCATCTTGTTAGGGAGTGGCTGAGCTGGGATTTGATCAGCTCTATCTGTGTGATTCCAAGGACCTTTCTGCTGTACAACACTGATACTCTTGGGCTCAGAGAGTCAGCGACTTGCCCAAGGTTACATGCTGCATAGTTGCAGTGCATGGAGTCTGAATTTGGACCATTGTCTCTTGACTTCTGGGCTGTGCTCTTTCATTCTTCTAAGTCCTCAGACACCATGTAGTGTTTGAAGGCTCCCATCCTAGAGATGTTGAGACTAATGCCTTTAGTAGAACTGATTTTGTTACTTCTTTTAAGTTATTTTAAAACAATTTGCGTTTAATGATATCCATTCTATCACGCACTGGCATACTCACTTAGTCTGCGATATGGGGAAGGTACAGTGAATGTGGAAGAACCTATGTTGGCACAGTGAATATAGAAGAACTTGAGGTTATCACCATTGCCCATTCCTGACTTTGTGATGTTTGGTAAGTTGCTCTACCTTTCTTAGTCTCAATTATCTTACCTGTAATATGGGTACATCATAATATTTATCTCATAGAGTTGCTGAAAGGATTATAAGACCAAAGATGCAAAAAAATGTTATACAAACTACAGCCTTGTTAAGATTTGGTAGTAGTTTTGGTGGCTGTTATTGCTTGTAGTCTTGGTTTTCTTTTGGAATCTGTGATTAACACTTGAGTTGTTATGAGATTTACAAAATAACAACTCTTAACAGAGTTCCTCCAAGATAGAATTAAAGAATGGTCCTGTGGTAAAATACCTTTCTCTTCCTATATATAGGCTATATTTCCTGTTGGTTTAGACAGGGCTAATGGAAAGACCAGATTAAATAATTTTGTGCACTGAAGAATAAGCAGACCCAAGGACAGGTTTCCCAAGAAGTTCTCAAGAGTTCTCTGTAATGTGAGAAGCAGGATTCTAAGCTCTGGATATGGACCTGGACCTCTGGAACAAATACTATGTTTGAAACTGAGGCCAAATAGGTAAGCCTCTTAAAACTACCAATCTGAGATACTCTTCATTTCTTTCTTACTCTGACTTTCTCCCTTTTCCTATTCCTTTCATTTTTTCCCCTCTTCCTTCTCTTCTTCTGTGTTCTCTTAATTCACTTATATAGTTGTTGTCAACAGGGATGGAAGCATTGATGTACATATGATATACTAGGAGTTAGGCTTGGCAAACAACATGTTCAAGATTTTCTGAGGAACAAACAATTTAAAATATTTAAAATAGGGATTTGGTTCCTGTTACAACGTGCCCACTTACTTGTTGTGTGACCTTGGACAACTCCCTGAACTTCTCTAGGCTTCAATTTCTTTCTCATCCATAAAATGAATAAATTGGACTAAATGCTCTTTAAAGTCATATGTAGCTCATGAACCAGGATTCTTGTAGGTTTTTCCACTGCATAGAAAAATGCACACTTCAGAAGTATACAACTCAATGAATTATCACATTGACCACACCTGTATGGCTGTTACCTTGACCAAAAATGCCTCCTGCATTTTCCCTTCTAGGCACCAACATCTCTCTCTTTCCCAAAGATCATCATAAATGAGTTTGCCTGTTTTTTGAGCTTGCCGTATGTAGAATCATACAGTCTATATTTTCTTTGCCTTCATTTGATTAACATTGTTTATAAGATTTATGTGTGTTTTTACATACAGCTGTAGTTCATTTTCATTGCTGTATAATATTCTCTGATAGGAATATTTTCCACTGTACTATTGATGAACATAAGGTTGATTTCAGTAATAGACTATTATGAGTAATGTTTTCTGACCATTCTTGTGCATGTCTTTATACATTTCTGTTCACACATTTCTGTTGGGTACATATGCGTAGTGAAATTGCTGGATCATGGAGATACTTATGCTAAACTTTGGTAGATAATACCAAAGGTTCAAAGTTCAAGCACACAGTTCAATTTATATTCCCACCAGCACTGCCTAAGAGTTGCACTTACTCCACCTTTTTGTCACCACTTAGTATTGTCGGTCTTTAATGAGGTTGAGCAACTTTTCATGTTAATTGGCCATTTGGGTATATTTTTTTGTGAAGTGCCCATTCAAGTCTTTTGCACATTAAAATTTTTTTCTTACTGATTTGCAGGAGTTCTTATCTAGACATGTCTTTTGTCAGTTGTATATGTTGCAAATGTCTTCTTTTATGCTCTTAATCGTGTCTTTGATAGATGCATGACATGGTATCTTCAATAGAATTTTAGTATAGTCAAATGTATTAATTATTTCCTTTCTATTCCTTTCTGTTCTATTCTTGAAACCTTTACCTACTCTAAGGTATGAAGATTTTTCTCCTGTTTGAATTTTACATCTTCATATACATGATCATATTATCTGTAAATTGTGATTGTTTTGTTTCTGTCTTCCTAACTCTTCCACTTTTACTTCTTTTTCTTTCCTAATTGCCCTGGCTAATAACTTCAGTACTGTAATGACACAGAAGTGGTGACAGGGAACATCTTTGTCTTATTTCTAATCTCAGAGGAAAAACTGTCAACATTTCCCCATTAAGTATGAGCTTTCTCTGGTGTTTTTGTAATTAGCTTTTATTAAATTAAGTAAATCCCTCATAATTCTAGTTTGCTAAGACGTTTTAATCACAATTGGATGCCAATTTTAGCAAATGCTTTTTCTACATTAATTGAAGTGATATATACATTTCCTCCTTTATTTTGTTGATAAGATAAATTTCATTCACTTTCTTAAGAAATTGAAATATAATTCACATGCTAAACAGTTCACCATCTCACAGTGTACAATTCACTGATTTTTAGTACATTCACAAGATTGTACAACCATCACAACTAATTCCAGTACATTTTCATTAACTAAAAAGAAACCCCTAAAACCCTAGAAAGAAAAAAGCATTAGTAGTTACTCATCATTTCCCTCTTCCCCCAACCCCCAGCAACCACTCACCTGCCTTCTGTGTATGGATTTGTCTTTTCTGGACATTTTATATAAATGTGATCATACACTATGTGGCATTTTGTGACTGACTACTTTCACTTTGCATAATATTTTTAAGGTTCATCCATGTTGTAGTATGGATCAAGACTACATTTCTTTTTATGGCCAGATAACAATTTTGTTGTATGAATATACCACATTTTATTTATCCATTCATTAGTTGAGGGACATTTGAGTTTCCACTTTTTGACTGTTTTGAATAATGCTGCCATGAACATTCACTTACAAGTTTTTGTGTAGACATCAGTTTTTATCAGATCCCTCTAGACTTGTACTTCTAGTCACCATAAAAAAATTTTGCCAGCAGCAGCACTAGTCCCAGGAAGCCTGGTGTTTGTGGCCTTGGGATATGGGACCACCAGGATCCTGAGTTTGCTTTATTTTCTCCATTACATCTTCCCTCAGCCCCAAGCTCAGAGTACATCCCTAGTAAGAGTTTGTAAAATTTGGTTGACTTGCTAGGCAATTGGAAAGCTCGGACAAAGATGACTGTTTACTCCTCTGGGCCTTTGTTTATTCTGGTTCTTTCTGGAATGCCCTTCTCCATCTCTGCCTGGCCAACTCCTGTTTATCCTTGATGAGTTCTTTCAGATATTATTTTCTCCAGAAAGGTGATCTATTATCTACCTTCCTCTATAGCCTGAGCATGGACATTGCCTGTTCTGCAGATTGAAGACTTGAACTCAGAGAAAGAAAGTGACTTTCCCAGGGTCATAATGTGAGTTAATGGCAAAGATAATACTGGATTCATCTTTTGACTCCTAGACCAGGACAGATTTCTTTTAATTCCCTGACTTTAATCTTCTCAGCTGTAAAATGGGGATAATCCACGCTCTCTTGTTCCTGGGGTTGTTGTGAGGAGCCAGTGAGACAGTGACTGCGAAAGGGCCTTGTGAAGGGCTATACACATGTGAGGGAGGTGATTGTTTTCCAGAAAGGGATTTACTGAGTGCCAGGTGACTCTTTTGACTGCATGGCTTCTCTACTTGTCTCCTTTCCTGCCTCAGGTATCCTGTTTCCTACTGGTGGTCCCCAGTCAGTGAGTACTCAGCCTAAATTGCATAGCACTCAGGATCTATCCTGCCAGTTAGGTTTCCTTTTATTTCCCTCCCCTCCCACTTCAGCCCAGCCCTTCCTCTTCTTATACCCCAGGTCTGGTCTATGTTAAACTGTTATTTCAGTCAGTAGTTGCTTCCAGTCAAATCAGTCAGTAGGGCCAGGGGATATCATAAAGGATAAAAGACTTGCCAATGCAGGGCAAGTCAGTTTACTTCTTAGGGCCTCTTTCCTCAGGGAGTGGAATAACATAGTCTCTAAGGTCACTTCCTAATATTTTCTGGGGTGTTGTTGAACTAAGTAAGCTTTGTGTTTAGTCCTACTTAAGTTCAGAAGTATAATGATCATAATTAGAAGCTATGGTTTTGGTTCTTAAGAAGCTTACATTTTAGGTAAGGAGGTAGCTCTTAAAAACAGCAAGGAATCATACAAGACAGGAAATGACTAAATGCATGGTAGTGTGGCCGACTCAGTGTCTTGGGAATTCACAGAGGGAGGAAAGGTTAGGAAATCCTTCCTGGAATAAGCAGGACTTGAACCAGTCTTTAAAAGATGGCTAGGAATTTGACAGGGAGAATAAGAGGAAGAGCATTCCAAGCAAGGAGAAGAAAAAGTGAGCAAAAACTTGGAGGTGGGAATACGGGAGGTATATGCAAAGGTCATAGAGTTCAGAGTGGCCTGTGGAAGCAGAGCCACCTTTAGCATTAGCCTGTATCTTCATGTGTTAGATGATTTCACTTCCCTGGAGCTTTTTTCTATAGACTGTTCATCCTATAAGCCACTCTCTTTCTGTGTTTCCATTACCAAAGTTCCTTTTGTATTTGACATTTCATGCCTATTATACAGTATATTAATAAGACATAGTAGAAATAATATATGAAAATATAATAAGATATATAAATATAAAACAAACATATAACTAAAATGTAAAAATAGCGTAATTGTTCTTCCATACAATCTTTTAAGTGACTAGATCAGAGGAAATTTAGGACCAGAAAGCAATTCCAAAGCCCTGCAGTATGTCCCATGCCTTCCAGCTATGAGTAGGACAGGTGGACTTATGTCATAAATGGCTGCTTAATTTGGGCCCTGGTAAACCCTTAGCCTTCCCTGTCTCAAAGCAGCTGCTTCTGGAAGAGAAATTTCCTAGTGCATACATGGTTTAAACCCTAGCAGTTGGCATGTAGGCAGATGGTTCTCATTAAGATACTAGGAAAGAAGCTTTGGAATCAGACCCGGGTTCAAATCCCATCTATTACTAGCTGTGTGAACTTGAGCAAATTGTTTAACTGTTTTTTGGTTTCCTCTTCTGTAAAATGACAGTAGTAATAATCTATCTCATAGGACTGTAAGAATTAAGGAAAATAATGTGTGTTACGGTATCTTATACATGGTCAGTTCTTATTTAATATTATTTCTTCTCTTCATTATAGCAAAGTATGTTTTCTTGACTCAACTTGAAATTCATTGTTGGAGATACACAGGTAGAATGTAAAGGGTCTTGGCTTTGAAGCGAGACCTTTGAATTTTAATTACTCCAATAACTGTAGGCATGTCTGTGCTTCAGTTTCCTAATTTACAAATAAAAATTGCCTCTCAGGATTGTGGTGATATGAAGTACCTATTAAAACCTGTGGGGTGCCATGACAAGAGGAAACCTAGCTACAGAGCTTTGAGAGGGCTCCTCTTTCTGTTTTCATAGACTCACAGAATGTAGGAATTGGGAAAAATCCTTAGGATCATCTAGTCCCTTTTCCCCATTGTTAAGATGGGAAAGCTGAGAACCTGGACTATGTTGTGTTGGTGGAGGCAAAACTGGCCTGGACTCTAGACATTCTTGTTTTTTGCCCCCATTTTGCTGCCTTTCATCAGGGTTATCCTGGGTCTGTGGAGACATTAGGACTTCAGAATTTCTTTTGGCCAGTGTGCTGAGCTCCCACAGAGCAGGGTTTTAAAACAGGGCTGATGGCAGCTGGGTAACTAGGATTGTGAAAGTAAGGTCAGAGCTGGTAAAAATGAAACATTTATTCCTGCCCTGGAGAGAATTTGCATGTCTTAGGCAGATTCCTTAGACTCTTTGCCAGGTTGAGTTAGGTGTCTGGTCGTTTGTTCCTTTCTTCACTCACTGTCTGAGCACTTATTTTGTGCCAGGCATGTGCTAGCTGTTGGGGATCCCATAATGAATTGAATATGGCCCCTGCACTTGGAACTCAGTCTGGTTGGGAAGATAAACCCTTAAAATAGACCATTACTATAATGGTGCTATGGGAACAGAAGTGAGGGTGAAGAGCTGCCCAACCTAGAGATCAGGGAGGACTTCACAGAAGAGATGACCTTTAAGCTGAGATCTGGAAAGGATAAATAAAAGGCTTTGTGTGGTGAGGTGGCAAGGGAAGAGAAAGGGAAAGGCAGGAGTCATGGGCAAAGGGTGTAGCTTGAGAAAATGTGCAAAGGTGTGAAAGAGCCCATTATGTTTGGTGAGCCATAACTTTTGGTATAGAGTGTATGAAACATATGTAGTGGGAGATGAAAGAGAGGGTGCAATTCTGTAGAGCAGAGCTTATCAAAATTTTATGAAAGGTACACAGATTTCCTATATACCTCTTGTGCCCACGTACACTTGACCTTCTCCACTATCAACATCTTGTGCAAGGGTGGTATATGTGTCACAATCAATGAACCTACATCAACACATCATATTCACCTTAAGTCCATATTTTACATTAGAGTTCACTCTTGGTGTTGTACATTCTATAGGTTTTGACAAATGCGTAATGACATATATCCACCATTATAGTATTATACAGAATAGTTTTACTGCCCTAAAATTCCTCTAATTCTCTGCTAATTCATCCCTTCCCCCAACCCCTGCCAACCGCTGATTCTTATACTGTGTCCATAGTTTTGCCTTTTCTGGAATGTCATATAGTTGGAATCACACAGTATGTAGTCTTTTCAGATTGGTTTCTTTCACCTACTAATGTGTATTTAAGGTTCCTCATTATCTTTTCATGGCTTGACAGCTCATTTCTTTTTAGTGCTGAATAATATTCCATGTTCTGGATGTAACACAGTTTATTTATCCATTCACCTACCAAAGGACATCTTGGTTGCTTCCAAGTTTTGGTAATTATGAATAAAGCTGCTGTAAACATCCATGTGCAAGTTTTTGTGTAAACATAAGTTTTCAGCTCATTTAGGTAAATACCATGGAATGTGACTGCTGGATTGTATGGTAAGAGAATGTTTAATTTTGTAAGAAACTGCCAACCTGTCTTCCAAAGCAACTGTACCATTTTGCATTCTCACCAGCAATGAAAATTCTTGTTGCTCCACAACCTTGTTGGCATTTGGTGTTGTCACTTTTGGATTTTAGCCATTCTAATAGGTGTATAGTGGTATTTCATTGTTGTTTTAATTTGCAATTCCCCAATGATATACAATGGTGAGCATTTTTTCATCTGTATATCTTCTTTGGTGAGGTATCTGTTCAGGTCTTTTGGCCATTTTATTAATTGGGTTATTTGTTTTCTTATTGTTGAGTTTTAAGAGTTCTTTGTATATTTTGGATATCAGTCCTTTATCAGAAGTATCTTTTGCAAATATTTTCTTCCTGTCTGTGGTTTGTCTTCTCATTCTCTTGATTGTCAAACTTTTACATGCACGTGAATCATTTGGGATCTTATTAAAATTCAGATTCTGATTCAGTAGGTCTGGGGTGGAGCTTGAGATTCTACATTGCCAACAATCTCCCAAGTGGTGCTGATGCTGCTTTGAATAGCAAGGCTATGTATAAATCATCCTGCTGTTTGCATTGGAGGGGACCAGAATGCAGGTGACAGATTACTGTTAGAATGATTCAGGCCACAGAGAGCAATGCCTGAAATAGGGTGGTAGCAATGAAGAAAAGAAGATGGAGAAGAGTGGATAAATTTAATCACTGTATAGAGGATAAAATCATTAATAACTTCGGAACTGGAATGCACTGGGAGAGAGGAGAGAGAACATAATCATGAGCAGCAGCAATCTGTAAGAGGCAGAGTGACAAAATAGAAAGATCTTGGGGCTGGGAGTCTGCAGACCTCATTTCTCAGGTCCCAGATCTGCTTCTAACTTGCTCTGTGACCTTGGGGAGGTTACTTAACTTCTTGGAACCTCTGTTTCTTCTTCTGTCCAATGGGCACCATAGTCACTGCCCTGCTTGTTACACAGTTGTTTTGAGGCTCTAATGAATATATGTGAAAGTGCTTTGTTAACACTAGAGCATGAGACAAATGAAGGTGGTTATTGTAATTATTATGAAATGTACATCTATTGTAAAGTGCTGTAGGGTATACTGCTACTTTCTTTTCCTGTAGGACTATTCAGTCTTGTTGTGAGGCTCAGATATGTCAACCTGGAAAGGCAGTAGAACAAGTGGATCATAGAAATGCAGCCCAGCTATTTCTGGGCATTGGAACCTTAACCGTAGATTTGGGCCTGATTTTAGCCTGTGGGCTTCACCTCATATTTTTAATTGATCTCCAAGGATAGGCCCAGACAAACCTGGCATTTAGGTCCTGTGTGACCCCAGCCAAGTTCTCAGATACTCATCAGTGAATTTTTTTGGAGGTAAATTTTGGGCTTCTAGTCTTCAGTCCTGAGCTTTGCTGGTGTATGATCCTAGGCGTTTCTAGGAAGGAAAATGTCTAGCTTGTCATGGAGCCAAAGATTTCGTGCCATGACTGTGGCAGTGAGGAGAGTAACTTCTCCTACAAGGAGAAAACTCTGATGGTTGTCTTGAGAGATTGGTAGGAGGGAAGACCAGAGACTCAGGGATCCTGGGCTTTCCTAACTGACTTGCCTTAAAGAGGGGATATTCTAGTCTTGCTTCACAGGCCTCCATGGTATTTAAGGTTTGCCTAGATGGCCACAGTCTAATACTTTTAGGACAACTTGTCACTGAAACTCAGGAATGGTCAAGCAAATTGTTAAAAAAAAGTACTTGTTTCCTTATGTATAAAATGGGTGTATTAATATCTGTTTTGCAGAGTTGCACGAATATTTGGTGAAATACTGTATACAAAATTCTTAGCATATGCCTGGCACATGGTAAGAGCTTAATGAATGATAGCTTTTGCAATTAGCCTCTAAACCCAGTTCCCCCAGGTGATGTGTGGGGAGTTCCCTGTGAGTTTTTAGACCAGATGGCCCTCTCCTCTTCCACTTCCCTAGGATTTATTATTTATTTATTTTTTTTTGCTGAGGAAGATTGTCACTGAGCTAACGTCTATGCCAGTCTCCCTCTATTTTATATGTGGGATGCCTCCACAGCATGGTTTGATGGGATCTGAACCTGTGAAGCCCAGGCCACTAAAGCAGAACTCGCAAACCTAACCACTATGCCACTGGGCCAGCCCCTCCGTAGGGTATTGAAGGAGGAGGAGCCCTGGCTGGAAGAAGGAGGAGGGTTTCTGCAGGTGTTCAAAATCTTGGCTCGGTAGGTCCCCATCTAGGAAGAAGAATTCTCTGGCTGAGCCTTGGAAGGTATTTAACCCTGTTGCAGCTGGGTTGTGTTTGCAGATGCCTGCTGAGGTCTAGCTGATACCAAGAACTTGAAACTCCTTTTAGTTGGAAGAGGGTTAGTTTCCTAGGGCTGCTGTAACAAAGTACCATAAACGAGGTGGCTTAAACAGCAGAAATTTATTATTTCAGTTCTGGAGGGTAGAAGTCTAAGATCAAGGTGTCTGCAGGGTTGGTTCCTTCTGAGGGCTATGAGGAAAAATCTATTCCATGCTTCTCCACCAGCTTCCGGTGGTTTGCTGGCAATATTTGGTGTTTCTTGGCTTTAAGAAGCATCACTCTGATTTCTGCCTTCATGTTCATATGCTGTTCTCCTTGTGTGCGTCTGTCTCCAAATTTCCCCTTTTTATAAGGACACCAGTCTTATTGGATTAGGGGCCCACCCTACTCTGGTATGACCTAATCATAACTAATTACATCTGCCATGACCCAAATATTTCCAAATAAGGTCACATTATGAGGTACTTGGAGTTAGGACATGGAAATTTTGGGGGGACTCAATTCAGCCCCTAACAAGGGTACTTCAGCACTACAATGATGGAAGAGGGATGACTACAAGTATTTGGACTTAATGATCCTTTAAGGTCCTAGCCCAGGGAGGCAGTGTAGCATAGTGGCGTAGAGCTTGGGCTGTGGGCCAGACTGCCTGGGTCTGGGTCTGGGTGCTGCCAACTACTAACTGTGTGTCCTTGGGCAAGTAATTTAACCTCTGTGCTTCAGATTTTTATCTGCAAAATAAGGATAATTGCACCTAACTGATAGGGTTGCTAAAGTAAATTAATACATGTAAAGAACTTGAACCATTGCCTGGTAAATACCTAATAAAATATTAGTGATTCATATTATTAAAACAACTTCCAAATCTAAAATTCTGTGATTTAGAGAACTTTAAAGCAACCCATAACCAAGGACCAAAGAAGTGGGATGCAGGTTACAGAAGCTCATAGAATGTAGGATGCCAGGGCTGGAAGGGTCTTTAAAGACAATCTGTTCAAGCCTTCTCTTTTTACAGATGAGGAAATCAGGGTTCAGAAAAAGGAAGTGACTTTCCCTGGATCAAATGGCTCATTAGTAGTAGAATCAGGACTACTAACTCTGATGAATGATCTTTGTGCTCCTCCATTACTTTAGTTTAACAAAAAATTAAGTATTTAATCATATATTGAACATCTACTCCAATCTAAGTCTGGTGATGGGCTCCGTAAGTACATATGTGAAGTAGACAGTCGTTGGCCTTTAAAGGAGCCTACAGCTCAGCAAAGAGTTAAAAAAGCCTAAAAGTGTAATAATGTCCCTGTCTTTTATTTCCTTTCCCCTGTTTCTTTTGCAGCAAATAAAAAGAAGGAGAAGGAACGGCCAGAGATTTCTCTTCCTTCGGATTTTGAGCACACGATTCACGTTGGTTTTGATGCTGTCACAGGGGAATTTACAGTAAGTCCTGGGTCACAGGAAGACCGTTGGTCTTTCAGAGTTCTGGCTGTGCACTGTTAGATTCAGTCCTTCCTAGTCTTCCTGATGTTTCTGTCTTTGCCTAAGATCCTCATTACTATCTTCTTATATTCATGAGAGGAAAATTACATTTCCTCATCTCCAAAATTATACCAGAGAAACCTTTGAATCTTCATTCCTTAAATAGACCTCTGTTAAGTGGCCCCTTGGCGGCAGGCTCTGTGCTGGGCACTGATGATACAGAGACAAATCAGACATGCTTCCTTCTCTAAAGGAGGAATAGCCTGGTAAAGGAGCAGACATCTCAAGAAATGACTAATACAGTGAGATAGGTATTATAAAGGAGGCTTGTGTAGAGCTCTGAGGGTGTATAGAGAAAGGAATGACTAACCCTGTCTTTAGCTGTTAGCAGGTATCAGAGTTAACTCTGCTTTTTCCTTCAGGGTCCCGTCTGACTGTGCCTTCCTGACATGAAAGCCTTATATGTGTCTCTTATAGGGGATGCCAGAGCAGTGGGCCCGTTTGCTTCAGACGTCAAATATCACTAAGTCGGAGCAGAAGAAAAACCCACAGGCTGTTCTGGATGTACTGGAATTTTATAACTCAAAGAAGACTTCCAACAGCCAGAAGTACATGAGCTTTACAGGTACAGGGATTGGATCCAGGGCAGTCTAGGAGAAAAGGGTTTTCATATGGGTGGAAAAGCTCCACGTGCCTATTGTCACTGGGTGAGGGAGGAAAGTATTGGAAAGAGTGGAGATGGCACCTTCACTAAGATGGAATTTTGGAATTCGAGAGCCAAGATGATGGGTTTTTGTATTAAACTTAAGCCTTTACTCTGAAACTGCACATTTTTTTAAAGTAGCGTGATATTATATAGAAAGAACATAGGCTTTGTGCTAGAAGATCTAGATTCTGACACTCATGAGGTTCTAACAGTTACTTCATTTCTTTGAACCTCAAAATAGGAATAATTCCTATCTCGAGACGTTGTAGTGAGGAATAATTGAGCTCATTGATGTGAAAGTTCTTTGCAGATTGTAAAACAGCACCATAGAAATGTAGCTATTGTTATCATTATTATTTTTAATATCATTAAGTTATTTAATGACACATTTAATGTGTATCTTTTAAGTAGGCAAGCCCAATTTCTTCCTCAAGGGACTAATTTTTATCAGTCAAATGAAAAACAGGCCAGTGATAATAAATGCTCTTTAGATGTACTCTCTCTATATATATAAAAGGAGCTGTGTTTTTAATAGCAGAATTGGGGTTAGAATCCAGGTCCCCTAATTCCTATACCAGCACCTTTTGAGTTTACTACTTGCCTCTGGTACCTCTATTTGGAGCACCTCTTTCCATAGCAGAGAGATTTTTCTTTTCCTAGATAAGTTAGGAGAATGCCTGCCTTTCTGGAAACTTGCCTTTTATATAGCATCTTAGAGTGTTAGAGCAAGAACTATCCTTAGTATACACCACTTTCAGTTCCCCCTTATTTTGCAGACGTTAAAGCCAAAAAGGCCTTTCTAACATGGCTCAATCAGTGGCAGAGGTGGTCTCTCAGATCTGAGTCCAGTGCTCTTTCCAGTGTTCGTGCTGTCTCTTTCAAAGGGCAGTGTTGTTGGGGAAGGTGAAAACCAGGATGAACTAGCTAATTTTAAAGGATGCTTTCCCCAGCGAGTATCTGGCTTGTATCAAAGGGCACAGATGGTGAGGATAACAGACTGCATCTTTGCTCATGATTCATGGTGGTGCCCAGGAGAGGGTCATGCATGTTCCCAGCAGTATTTCCTTCCCCACGTCTGGCCCCGCTGGGTCTGTCTCACTTCTTCCATTGGGGGACTGGGTCATTCCAAGGAGGAATTGGGGTTGAGGAGTGCTGGGTGGGGAAATTTTCTAGTCAGGAGATAGAGCTTGTGTTTTAAAGGGTTTGTCATGGAGACGTCAGATTAGAAGCTGGCTTTGAAAGCCTCAGCAGCAGTGTCTTTGGAAGAATCTCTGTTTTTATGTGTACATGTGTAAAGATGTGTACAGTGCCCTATAAATATATGGAAGTATAGCTCTGTGGGTGTACATATGTTTGGAGTTAAAGTCCACTTAAGTATTCATGAATGAATATGTGTTTAGATACACACATTCAGATAGTTGTGTGTGTGTTCATCTGTGCATGCATATATGAATAACCTTGAGTGTATATGCATAGAATGTATAGATATGTGTCCATACATCTGGCTCTGTGTGTCTAAATGTATGCACATGTGTGTGCATGCACACACTTGTACACACGTGCAGGATTTTTAGTTTTCTAGAAATTGAAGACCAGGACCAACTCTAGGCAAAATTGTGTATTTGGCACAGTTTATTTTTAATGTTATATCTCTCCTTTTCCTGTTTCCCCTCTTCTCATACTATTAATTATAACACTACCTCAATTTGTATATGCTTGCACATGAATTATCTCATTTGATTCTCATGATGGCCTTGGGGAGTTGGCAGGGCAAGGACTATTATCCCCATTTTACAGACTCAGAGAAGTTAATTAGGTTCAGAGAAACTAAGTGACTTACTCAGAGTGACTCAACTGATATGTAATGGAAGTGTGTTTTAAACTTGGGTGTTTAAACCCTTTGCTGTCTATAACTCAAGTACAATCTTCCATGCCAATTTTTTGTCAGGTTTCCTATTTTTCAGCACTTTGTTTTCTGCACCAATTAGTAGCTAATGTGATAAGTAAAAAGTAGACTAGATTGACAACACAAACTTCCGGGTTTTAGCCTTACTTTGCCACTGGTTTGTGAAACCTTGAACTAGTTTCTTTCCCTCTCTGAACCTTAGTTTCCTAATTTGTAAAATAAAGGGATTGGAAGTACATTCTGCTCTGTCGTTCTGTGCTATGGAATTTGATTTTGATATGTAGAAGTTGTACATCACATTTAAAAGGAGCAGTGCTTACTTGTTTTTTATATGGTGGAGATATATTTATTACCAGAATACTCAATCCTCAAAAACATTAACAGTGCATAAGGTTGGGGGTGGTGCAGCAAAGGCAAAGTATTGCACTTTGCTCTGCTTAAGCTGATATTCTTTTGAACAAGAAAAACAAATGAATTCTGTTTAAAGTATATCCTGAATTGATTTCTCCAGGATACAGCTGGCTATTGAGAGTTTAAGAACATATTGTCACATCTTGTGGGTTCATGATTTATTGTAGGACCAAAGACGCTGTACCTTGTACTTTCTTATATGATGGAATTAGGGTCTTGGACATTCTCTGGCTTGGTTTTTGGTGAGCAATATGTTGGATTTGGTAGAACATTTCTCCTCCTACTTCCATTGGTGGTAAACTGGCAAAGTCAGTTTCTTCTTGGACCTTTTGGAATTAAATAATAAAGCCAAACACAAGACTTGATCTTTAATCTTGTTTTCTTGCTGAGGTCTCCATTGGGTTTATGTTTCATATTTCATCAAGTCTAAGATATCAATGATTGTGAGATATACTATTATTTTATATACTACTAAAAAAAATGTGCCAGTTAAACCATAAAATGCCTTTGATTGTCTGACACATCTCTGTTTCAGAGATGTTAATGTGAAAAAAATGTACATCTCAGAATCAATGAAATATGGTAAGTGCCTCATTGAGGGAGCTTGAATCTATTCTTAGAAACAAGGCCCTGCCTTTACTTAGGCTCGAAATGATTAATGCCTCTCTTTTCCTAAGTCTTAGTTTTTCTCTCCCGATGGGAAATAGACATGGGTGTAGAAGGATCCTTTCCAAATGGTGAAGCCGCAGGCTGGTCATGATTTGTCATGGATAGCTCAGGACAGTGCCAGCCATGAATTCTTTCCATTTTTCTTAGATTACAGGAAATTTCCCTGGCCACTGAGGCCTGATGATGTTGATACAGTTGTTGCATAGTATTTAGAATTAGGCCTAGATTCACATCTTTACTCCTGTTTAACTTGTGTGTACCCTGGGCAAATTACTTAACTTCTCTGAACTTCAATTTCTAAATCTATAAAAGCAGATATAATAATAGTACTTGGAGCTGTAGTGAGGATTAAAGGAGGTAATGTGTATAATGTGGTTAGTATGGTATTGGGTCCTTAGTACTAGTAATACTATTATTATTCTCTGAGCCTGGCAAGTGCTTGACTGGATAGGTTTCCTTAGCCCTCCAGAATGGATTAACTGTAATTGTTTACTGACTGAGTCCCATGTCATTTTTCCTTTCAGATAAATCAGCTGAGGATTATAATTCTTCTAACACTTTGGTAAGTCTTTATTTCCTCTGTTCTAATATGGGCAGGTATGGTGAATAGGGATCAAGACAGTATGGTAGATGCAAAGCCTGGGCTGGGAAGCACTCGTCTTGGTCACTCTCTGACCCTGGGCCTCAGTGTCCCTATCTATATAGTAAAGGAATTAGAGTTAATAAACAGTGGGTATCCCTTCCAGCTTTAATTTTTTAATGTTCTACAGATCCTAACCTTGGAACCACAAGAACTGGCTTCTAGGCTCAGTTTTTCATTTGTAGCTTTGAACCTTGGGAAAGCCATTTTGCCTTTCTGAGCTTCAGTTTTTTCATCAATAAAAATGAGGATGATCCACTTTGCCTTATCTGGACATGTTTTTAAATATCAAAATTTCAAAGAGAATTCCCTCTCTTTGGTTGGTAGGTTATACAAAACCAGGATTAGAACTAATTTTTGAAGGGAGCAGGTTCTCTTCATTTAAGGTCATTCATTCTGTCCTCTGAAGTTGTAGTGAATGCCTTGTCACTTGAAGGGATGTTATAGGAATCATTGATGAATTAGCTGGAGAGTGAACTTAATGACCTCATAGGTCCCTCTGCCTCTCTCAACTTACAATTTCTGTTTTCCAGAGCAGATAAAATGAGATATTTATGTGTTTGAAAGGGTCTTATAAATAGTATAAATAAATATAATAGTGATATATATTTAAGAGAATACTGCTATTCTTTATACCTGATGTTGTCTCTTGTACAGAAGTGGTTGTGTCATGTTGATTTACTAAACCTTTGCAAAGCCCCTACTCTATACCAGGTCCTGTGTGGAGAAGTGGCAATACAAAGATGAATCAGACATTGTCCCAACTCCTAAGAATCTCGCAGTCTTGTGAGCAACATGAAGGCACGAACAGTTATAGTGCAGTGTGCTTCAAACTTCATGAGGCCAGAGGCTAGGTCTGACTTGTTAATTGCTGAGAATAAATAGCAGAGAGAGAATAAATACCATATGCAAAGACAAGGAGGTTGGCAAAGTATGCTTGTACAGGGAACTGCAAGTAGTTTGTTACGATTGGAATGTGAAGTGTGAAGGGACTAGAGGTGGGTGATGAGGAGGAATGGTAGGCAGGTCAGATCATGTAGGAGTTTTAACTTTATCTTAAAGGTAATGAGAAGCTATTGAAGAATTTTAAGCAGGGGAGTAGTAAGTTCTAACACAATACTGAGTCACCATCAAAATACTTTGAACCATGCTTCCAGCAGTGGGGGTTAGTTTCCTCTGAGTCATTTATACTCTTATCAGTTATGAAAAATGTTCACATCTCCAGTGCCTTGTAGCATACTGGGTCCTTTCTTATTCACTATTTCCTTTAATCCTCATAGGAGTTTAATGAGGTGGGTTATTATGCTTGTTTAATCGATGATAAAACTTAAGTAGAGAAGGGTTAATGGCAATAGTTATCTGTTTCCCAGTTTGCATTGCTTTCCCGATTCATTCTTTTCTCAAATGGAAGAGATGTAATTAAAAGATAGGGAAGAATTTGCAAATGTTAAGATCTTTGGGAATTTCTGCCCATTATTGAACAGTAAATTATTGAAGAAGGGGCCTGAACAGAGCTGAGCGCTGCTTTGTGGTTCACATGTCTGTGTGCTTTTATTGGAGGAGTGGCAGCTATCATTTATTGAGTGGCTAATATGTGCCAGGCACTGTGCTAATAACTTTATAAATGTTAGCGTAATTAGTCCTCACAATTACCTTGTGAAGAAAGTATTGTCGTCCTTGTTTTACAGGTAGAAAAACAGACTTTCCTGAAGACTCATCATTAGCTATTGTGGTAGAACTGGATTAGAACGAGGGTCTTCTGAGTCCCGGTCCAGGATTCTTTTCACCCTGGCAAGAAACTGAGAAAGAAGATGTCAGAGAGGTCTTATAAAGGAGACTGCAGTGAAACTATACTTATGTTGTTTGTTAGTGAGGAGGAGGAGCCCTGGGGCTCACGCCATATGGCACAGAGGATGACACCTGCTTGGTAAAAACCTGTACTGGTTTAGTATCTCCAGTTAAAACTGCTCAGGCCGTCAAGGACATTTTCTCCCCCAATTCAGAACATTTGTCCCTGTGACTCAGTGCTCTATATTTCCTTACTAGTTTTACCTGGGGGGTGTGGTTTGTATTGTGGTAGCATGTCGTTATTTTCCACATTGGTTTCATACAGATCATTCCACTTGATTTGTGAAATAATTGAATGGGATTGTTATCTCTGTAACACAGGTGAAGAAATTGAGATTCAGAGATTAAGTGACTTGCTCCCTACCCTTGAATGAGGTAGTAGTAGAAACCAATACAAAATTCAGTTCTCCTGAGCTTTCATTTATTCATTCATACTGTAAATATTTACTTAGCACCTTCTTTGTGCCCAGGTGTTGGTCACAGAAAAAGACATATGCACTATCTGAGTCCTTAAGGAAACAACTAACAGCAGACTAGAAGGATAAGGGCCACAAGAGAGCTATAAGTGATGTACAATGGAGGTCAGATTTGATGGAGTGATTTATTCTGCCTGGTAGTACAGAGACGTTTGCAGAGTTGTCAGGTGCTAATGATATGTTCATTTAACAAACATGATCTTTAGGGTTCCTTCTATCCCTAAAATTCTATTATTTGTGGCTCATTCGTCTGAGCTTTGGCTCTCAGATTCTATGACATTTTAATGCCTGAATTCTTGTTTATAAAATGAACAGCTACTATGTGATAGGCTCTTTGGATGCTGGGGAGTCAAGGACTGGTAAGAGCTTTGCTCTTGATCTCATAATTTAGTGAGGAATCAGAATATGTAAGCAAGGATTTATAATACAGTGTCAGGTAAACACAAGTAATGACACCAGGCCGAGAAAAGGGCAATGCTTTCTTTTCTGAGGTAGCATGAACAAAAGCCAAGTTAAAGACTCATCATGTAAGGCCAAAAAACTTGGACTTTGTGCTGTAGCTAAGGAAATATTTAATATAGAAGATTGATATAGTTGGATATACATTTTAGTCTAAACTAACATCTTAGAAAGATTCCTCTGGAAATTGGATCAGGGTAGTGGAATGAATTTATGTGTGTGTGTCTCTCTCTTGTTATCTCAAATTTCTTAATTTCAGAAAAAATGTATTAAAAAATAAATTCAAAACAGTGCTCCAAAACAAAAACAGGACATAAGTGGGTCATTGTCAGGAATTCATGGAAGAAAGAAAGCAGATTTATCAGAGCAGAGGAAACCACAGCTTAAAGTATGTGGAAGAGAAAGAAAAAGGAAGATAAGAGTAGCTCCAGAGAAAATGGGCGGAGACGCTATGTATAAGAAGCTGGAAAGAGTCCTGGGTCATCTTCAAGCGTAAATTAATTAAAATTCTGCATTTGAAACAGCAGGGGCAGTCTCCATCTTACAGTGAACAAAAAAGTAGCAGAATTTTGATTCTAAGCTTAAACCAGAATAATTTCCTAAAGAAAGTAAACTGCCCTGTTGAGGAGAACTCGTGGTGTGGGTGTAGGGGCTTGAGACAAGCAGAGCAGAAGCTGAGTTAAGTACAGATCTCTACAACAGGTATAAAGAAGGGGAAAGGAAAAGTAGTTCTGCAATGGGAGAAAATACGTTCAATTTTTCCATCCTAAGAGTAAATTTCTCATACTTTTGATAACTGGGAGGAGAGGAATCTCCACTCTGCATGCTTTTCCATGCCAGCATACCCTAAAGTGACGCTTGCCAGTAATCTCCTCTCCATAATTCACATCGCACTGCTTCAGACCTTCCATTTAGAGGAGGGGACAGTGGAGAGACAGAACTACATAACTGCAGAAGAAACTCATGCTGATTACATACACCAGGCAGTCTGGTGCCTCACTTATACACAGGAATGGATAGCTGAGGATCTCTAGACACTTGAGGGAAGCAAAATATTAAAGAGAAGAACCAAGCTAAAGAAATAAAACTGGCCCCAGAGGAAATAAATAATTCAGGAAAGAGATTTAAAAAAAAAATGTCTAGTATGTTCAGAGACATTGTATAGATGTTGCATCCATAAAAACACACTGCTATTAGAGCAATCAGAGGATAAAAAAGAATTCTTAGAAATTGAAAATTATGACTAAAGAAATAAATTCACAAGGATTTTAAGAAATACATATTAGTGAATTGATATAAAATATAAAAACAGATGGAAAATATGAAAACGAGATACAAGGGGTTAGTGGAGGAGATTAAGAAGAATTATGGAACTGAGGCACTAGAGTGGAAAAAATAATCAAAGGAATAATAGAGGAAAAATTCCTCAGCTAAAGAAGGGCATGAGTCTTCAGATGAAAGGGCTTACCAATTATTGTCAGATAATTGAAAAGAGGCCCAAGAATAAAGAGAAAGATCTTCAAAGCTTTCAAAGAGAATATACAGCTAATGTTCCTCATTAGCAACAATGGACGAAGGAGCAATATTTTCAGAGGTATGAGGAAAATTATTTGGAACCAAGAATTCTACACCTAATCAAACTAGCTTTCAAGCATGAGGTCAAAATAAAGACACGTTTGCACGTGTGAAGATCTAGGCTTACCGCCCTCAGATAGTCTCTGAAAGGCTAAACACTAAACAGTAACAATAATTACCTCCAGGGGATTGTAATTAAGAATATTCACGTAAAAATTATTATTTTTACCCAAGTATTAGATTAAAACGTCAAATAAGACTGAAGTCCTTGTAATTAACAGCTGTCATTTTGGGATCTCCCTGCACCATCTTGGCAATCCCTTTGCATTTTTGTGTGCAGGTTCCTATTTTCTCCATGCCACACCTTCCTCATCTTTGTTTGCTTTTGCAGTTTCGTCAAGCTCATCCTCCAGTAGCTTTGAGAAAATTAAATGGGAAGTAAATGTTTAATATCTTTCAGGTCTCAAAATGGGGCATCTCTGTTCTACCCTCACATTTGATTGATACTTACGCTGAATATGGAATTCTAGGTTGAAAATAATTTTCCATCAGAATTTGGAAAAATTGCACTTTCGTCATCTAGCTTTCACAAGTTGGCTGTTGAAGTCCAAAGACATTTTATTCCTGCTTCTTTGTATCTGACCTTTTTTTGTTCATTTGGGGGAGCTTATAGCATCCTCTTTGTTGTCGTTGCTTTGAAATTTCATAATTATATCCCTATATTTATCTGTTTATTGTGTGAGGAGCTTTGTGGACTCTTTCAACCTGGAAACTCAAGCCTTCAGTTCTAGGAAATTTGCTTGAATTAATTGATGATTTCTTCTCCTCTGTTTTCTTTTTTCCTCTTTCTGGAACTCCTGTTACTTAGATTTTGGACCTCCTGTACTATTTTTTTGCTGATTTTTGGGAGACTTCTTCAACTTCATCTTTCAAACAATCTATTGAAATTTTCATTTATGTTCTCACATTTAATTTCCAAAAGCTCTTTTATTTTTATTTTTTAAACAATTATAGCAACCCATTCTTATTTCCAGAGGCAGTATCTTTGCTTATGAAGAAATAAATGGTAGACTTTCTTTTGATGTTTTCTTCTCCCTATCTAGTCTTGTTTTTTCCAGGTTCTTTTTTCATGTTTGTTTTTGTTTGTCCCTTTTATGTTAGAGATGTTCCTTGGATATTTGGTAATCTTTTGAGATATGCTCATATTTATGATTGGGGTACTAAAAGCCTTACTAGAATCTTAAGCTTGTTGGTTGTATAATTGTCTAAGATAGAAATTCCTACTGTTTTTACCCAAAGTTCAGCAGTTTTAAAATCACAAATACGTCTCAGCAACATAGGTAGGCCTCCTAGAAGTTTTTGGAACACACCAAGCATGTTCCCATCTCAGGGTTTTTGTACTCCTTTCATTTGCCAGGAATATTCTTTTCCCAGAGTTCCATGGCTTGCTCTCTCAATTCATTCAGGCCACTGCTTATGTGACTTCTCATTATAGAGCGCTTTCCATGACAATGCTGTCTAAAGTAATATTTCCCCACTCCCAAACAATCTCTACTGTCTTATGTTTATCTTATTACTACCTGACACTTTGGTGATTAATTTTGACTGTATCCTCTTCTAAAATGTATGCCATAGGACCAGGGACTTTGTCTGTTTTGTTCTTCAGTATAGCCCCAGAACCTAGAACAAAGACTGGTACATAGTGAATAAATGAATGAGTTGGAGTCACTGGCTTTTTTTTAGACGGAGGTTTGTGGTTATTAGATATAATGATAATTGAATTGGTTCCTTATATCTTTCTAGCTCCTTACCATTTACAAAGTGTTTTTATACCCACGTCACTTCATTTCATCCTCCCAGTGGCCCTGTGAGGTAGAGAGCTACTGTCATTATCTCCACCTTACAGATATGAGAAACTTGTGCCTTAGAGTAGGGCAGCCTTGCCCGGGGGCACAGGGATAAGAAGTAAAAATTTGGAACAAAAACCAATCTCTCTTGATTCTGGTAGTTGTTAATCCTACCACCCAAAGCTGTCACCTGTGGAAAACAGAAATGTGTTGCTAAGGAAGGTGATGAAATCCCCTTCTCTACAGTTTTAGGAAGCAAACAAACTTAGTGTTTATAGTGTACAGCGGGGAGCCCCAAGGCCATCTGATGGTAAAGAGGCTGCTGAGTTAACTTCATTCCCAATTTGGGTGTCTAGTTAAATTTTGTTTTGAATGGAGTAGTGGGGAGAAGATAAATTAGAACATGAAAATATCAAAATATGTGCTTTGACAGGGAAAGAACCTGTGTTGAATTTTAGAACTGGAAGTGACTTAAGGTCACCCCTCAAATTATACCACTCCTCTTCCTCCACATTCCTCAAGTGATGAAAATGGAAACAAGAGGATAGATTCATTGCCTGCGGCCACCCAAGCTCATTGCTTATAAACGCCTGGCACTGTCAGTTTTTAAGTTATGCCCTGCACCGGAGGTCCTGTTAGAATCTATGAGGTTGTCAGTTTACCTTATGTAAGTATGTCAAATATGCTGAAGGCCAGTCTCTGACACAGTCATTCTAGTTTAGTATTCCACTAGGTAAGTTTGTCCACTTATCCCCTGTCATTCTGACTCTTGACCTTCTTCTCTCCAGAGGCCCCAAATGGCAGGCAGGAAGGGAACTCAACCTCTGTCTCTTATATCAGAGACATATATCTCTTATATGGTGAGCTGCTTCAGAACATGTACCATCTTTTTCATCTTTGTGCCCTTTTTGTTAACAGTATCCATCACAATATCTCACTGAGCACAAAGTAAGTGCTCTGAAAATTTCTGAAACTGTTGAATTATACCAGTGTATATTAAAAGATCCCTATTGCCTCTCTGGTCCTATGCTATAATCATTTAAATCTCCATCAAAAATCTCATGTTTTGGAGCTACTTTGTCTCTTGAATCTGTTATAAACAGTAATGCTAAGATATTTTTGCCTGGACCTGCCTTAAAACCTGCCACACTTGGCCCAGCTTTGTTATAGTTTGCATGGGAAACTCCAGTTGCTGAGATTATAGCAGATTCAATTAGTGGTGCTGGTAAGGTTCATTCCAGGACAAGGCAAAAGCTTAGTGGAGTGGACAGCATCCACTCTGGGGAGAAACTCATTGTCCTCTTGAGTCAAGGGGCTCCTGATGTCTTTTATTTTCAGGTGAGGCCAGGGCACCTGATGACATAATGGGTACAGTAGGTTTTGGTAAAGAAAGGAACAGGAGAGGCAAAAGCCTGCCTGGACTTCCGTTTACCGTTATCAGAAAGGAGTAAGGAATTACAATGATAAACTTTGTAAAATTCCAGACTTTTGATCCCTTCCCTACAGTTTATACTTTATTACTTGTTCACTGTGGAGAGTAAAATTCATAGAATAAGGAGGAACTATGAGCTTGTCTTCAGGGGTTGGCTTGGGGGAAGGCAGATAGAGAAGCTGTAGGCTGGCTTCCCATTCCACAAATAGGTTTTGGGTGGGAAAAGGAAGCCCCCAAGGGACTGAATGGATAGTGGTAGCTAAAAGAAGAGAGGGAAGGTGACTGAGTTCCTGGGACTGGCTACACAAAGGTGGAGAGCTTGGAGCCTGATACGGATTTCAGGAGGGGTGTCAGGATGAGGTTTCTTCTGGGGGACTGGTGATCCTGGTAGCTTAAGTTCCACGTCAGCCGGCCCTGATGAATCTGGCTTTCCTCTGCTGTACAGAATGTGAAGACGGTGTCTGAGACCCCTGCAGTGCCACCAGTTTCAGAAGATGAAGATGATGATGATGACGCTACCCCGCCTCCAGTGATTGCTCCACGCCCAGAGCACACGAAATCGGTGAGTCTTTGGGGACGTGGACAGCTTTGTGATTTATTAGAGTTTGGAGGGGGAGAGGTGTTGATCCTGAGGCCTAGAGGTTTAATATTCTGGTTCTGGGTTTTGGGGTTTTGGAGCTGGTGAAATTACTGAACCACCTTGATTGAAAGGTACTTTCTGTATGATTAAAGATAAGAATTGGTATATTTATTTATCATTGGTTTGCAGATAGTCCCAAAGTGTCATAGATAATTGGTGTTTATACCAACCCAGCCCTAGTTTGCTTAGCCCGTTCTCCATAGACAGGCTAGGAAGATACACAGAATTAATGTTACTTAGTGCAGGACTAACATAAATTATTCTAGTCTCCTGGGAAGCAATAAATTAGCCTGCAACAGATCCTTTCTTCTCTGTTAAATGTGCAGCGTTCAGCCTCTTAGAACATCATTGATGATGCTGAAAGACCCAAGAGAATTCATAAATACATTAGTGCTATTAATATGCTGGACATCGGGAGTGCATTTTGATGCTGGATGTTGGCAGTGATTTTTATTTAACTTCCTTTGAGGTTCCTGCATCTCAGAATAGCCACAGTCCCTCTGCCCTTGCTTTCCACAATCTAGTCCCTTCCTTTTACCTGATTTAGTGTCAGTGAGCAGTGACCTATCATCAGATGATATTCTACTAGTGTTTCTTTGTCTGCACTTTTTATTATAACAAGAGCTTCATAATGAAAGAATGACCTAGAGCTTAAACTCTGTGATAATACAAGATAAGGCTATCTCTGGAGTAGAAGACTCAGGGAGGTATTCAAGCAGAATTGATTGACTAACTATGAGAGTTGTTGTGGAGGAAAGTCAAGCAGATTAGATCAGCTTTTAAGATGAGAACTTATGAAATCACCCTTTTTGTAGGTCACAAAGTCACCTTAAGGAAAATGAACTTCAAAATTAGAGAGTTGTCAAGATATCTCACATCGATATGTCCTTTTTTGATTTGCAAGCATGTTCATTTAAAAAATTTTTTCCTCCTAAACCATGAACTCCTCAAAAGTAGAGGGAATACATGTATGCATGCATTTGCAGTGCTTAACATAATTCTTGGCAGGTATCAGAAAGGCAGTAAATATTGAATGAATTGATAAATTTGATCTTCATAGCATTCCTTTCTAAAAAGGTATTGTTAATTCACGATTTATAGAAGAAGAAGCTGAGATTTGGAGAGGTAAATTGATCTACCCAAAGTCTCTTAGTAAGCAAAAGAGCCAGGATTGAAAGCAGGCAATTGACCCCAAGTCTGGGTCGCTTTCCACCATAGCACAGTGGCCTTTTTATGTGTGCAGACTTGTGCTGGGAGCCAGAGAAGGAGAATATTAGAGAGGGAAAAGGCAGGGTTTGTGACCTCAAGGAGACATCTCTGGAGAACCAAAGGAGGAGGACAAGGCTACAGGTTTAGGTGGCAGGGATATAGTTTGTCTATAGGTACGAAAATAGAAAATTACGAAATCATTATGCTAGAGTAGTCAGGAAAGAAGCTATAGTCTCTGATCTCAATGTCTTGACTTATTGCTGTTTCTACTCTGGACAATTCTCTCCCGTTTCCACCTATTAAAATCCTGTCCATCCTTCAAGATCCAGCTGAAGAATCCCTTTTATTCATTTATTCACTCATCAAACATTTACGTGAATGCTTGCTTTTTGTCAGGCAGCTGGTTAGATACAGGAACTCGGGGATGAATGACACACATGCCCTGTCTTTGTAGAGCCTATAGACTGGCCAAAGGATAGTTGTGATATTTTTATGAAAAAAATCTGATAATGCCAGTAAACGTCTCTTGGGGAAAGGACATAACTTATTGTCACTCCTTCTGAGCCTCAGTAGTATATAGTTTGCTCATTTCTTATGACATTTATTCCTTTCTGCCTTGTGGTTGTGACTTTCTCACAAGAATTCCTTCACAGGGGGGCTGGCCCCGTGGCCGAGTGGTTAAGTTCGCGCGCTCCGCTGCAGGCGGCCCAGTGTTTCGTCGGTTCGAATCCTGGGCGCGGACATGGCACTGCTCGTCGAACCACGCTGAGGCAGCGTCCCACATGCCACAACTAGAGGAACCCACAACAAAGAATACACAACTATGTACCGGGGGGCTTTGGGGAGAAAAAGGAAAAAATAAAATATAAGAAAAAAAAAAAGTAGCGTTGGATTATAACCCAAAATATAAAGTAAAAAAAAAAAAAAAAAAAAAGAATTCCTTCACAGAAATAGAGGATGGGGGCAGCATTTTGTACAGCAAGGCTAAGAGTAGATTCTCAGTAAATGTTTGTTAAGTAAATGAATCAATAGAAAACATAATAATATTAGTGAAAATTTGAAAGCTTAATATCTGCTGGGCATGATTCTGGTCATTTCACCCCTTGATTAATTTATTACTACAACACCATAAGACAGGTATCATTAATATCACCATTTTACGAATGAGGACACTGAAGCACAGAGAAGTTAAGGAACCTGTCCAAGGTCATACAAATGGTAGCAGTAAAAGCTGGGATTTGAACCTAGGCAGTCAGGTTCCTGAGTCTTTGGTCTAAATGACTACGCTCCACTGCCTCTTAAAGAAGAACAATTGTAGTTCCTTCTCTGCAAAAGTTCAGGATTTAGAGAGGGAGTAACTCAAAAGAAGATAATGTTAAGTGTTGTATCAGCAGCGCAAGATGCTGTGGGAATACAGGATATTCATTTCAACTTGGGAAAGAATAGAATTTTGCAGATGAAGGGGATCCCCATCTAATAATAGAATCTCCTTTAAGTCATTTCTGTTGAGAGTTGTTTAACCTTGTATTAAATATCTTCAGTGCTCAAATTCTCACTAACTCCTGTTATGTAGTTCAAGCGAGAGCCAGGAAGGTCATTCTACCCACAGAGGATGGGCCTGGGCACAGAGGAGGAGGAGCACAGATTTTGACCTAGGAGAAGGGATGAGTTTACTGAGATTTGCTCTTCTGTGGATGTTCTAACACATTCATCTAAGAGAGGCTCCTGAGCTTCCCCTGTGCTAACAAAGGCTGCCCTTGCCAAATTCTTGCACCAACAATGCAGGTATACACACGGTCTGTGATCGAACCACTTCCTATTACACCAACTCGGGATGTGGCTACATCTCCCATTTCACCTACTGAGAATAATACCACTCCACCGGATGCTCTGACCCGGAACACTGAGAAGCAAAAGAAGAAACCGAAAATGTCTGATGAAGAGATCTTGGAGAAATTACGTAAGCAGTTTGTTGCTTTCTGAACTTTCTTCTGGTACGTGACTGGTTGAGCACGAAGATGGAATTCCATTGCTATAAAGATCCTGGTTCTAGGCTTGGTCTATGTGGCTGCCTGACTGTGCTTGATATCTTAGCTACAGACTGCTTTTCTTCATCCTGCCGCTGTACCCACCTCCTTTGTCTCGTCAGCCCTGCTTGGATACCACCCACATTAGGATGGGAACGTGATGAGAGAGAGTAGGGATAGCTCACTTTGAACACTAGGCATTCTCACCTCTAGGCATGGCTTATGGAGATGACCAATAGCTTTTACCTGGTGAATACTTGGGAATGTTGTTTTGAGAAAGTTATTGAGGCCTTGTCTATAACTGGTGGGAAAGAATGCTGTGATTGATTATTGATGTCTGCCATTGACCTAGGCGAAGACAGATCTGCCATCTTGGTTGTAGGAAAAGAGGGAAGGGAAACTAACATTTTTTGAGCCTGTACTGTGTACCAAATGACAACCTAGGTATTTTCTTAATTTTGTTTCATTTATTCCTCATATTAACCCTATGAAGAAAGACGTTATAATCTTCATTTTTGCAGTTAAGATGTTTGAGGCTCAGGGATGCTCAATACTCTGCCCCAGATCACACAGCCAGCAGGTGACATGTATGGGGTTAAAACAGAACCTGTGCTCCTGTAATTAGAGCCTGCTGCCCCCCTAGCTCTCAGATGGAAACTTATTTTACTTCCTTAAGCGGCCAGAAATGGGGGGGGTCTATTGGGGTAGCTTGTTTCTGTGTTTCAGTAAACTGCAGGAGAGTTCATATGAGAAGGAAGGATTGACTTGGTCTTTGGGCTTGGAAAAATCATTTGACAAGGCCTTTGATTTATTCTTTGTACCTGTCTACTTCTAAAGAGGATTTGATGTGACTAGTTTAGCTAACTCTTCAAACTGGCAGTGCTTTCTAAAGCTGAAGTTTCTGGTTCTTTCGCTTAGCAGCTCTCAATTTCTTTTTGATAATTCTTGTTTGACTTTAAAAATAATTTTTACTCTTTTAAAAGTTACCATTCCCCAGAGCCCTTATGAAATCATGAAGTAAGAAAAGCTACCTACCTAGTCATCTGTTTACTCATGTATGTAGTCTTTTTCTCTGAACCAGAGTTTTTTTAAACAATAATACATAGAACATAGAATTATGGAAAGCAGGCTGTTCTAGGTGTTAAGGACACTTGAGTTGAAGCCCCAGCCCTGCCACTGACTTGGGTCTTGGGCAATTTCCTCCTGTTCTCCGGGCCTCCTTTTTCTCATCTTTAAAATAGGGATGTTAATACCTGTCTTATTTGTAAATCAAATGAGATAATGTAAATGAACAGTACCAAATCCTAGTAATTGGTATTAGTGGAAAGCATATTGGCCTGACTCCTATTCTTAGCTGTGACACAGTTTGCTGTGTGAGGGGGAAGTATCTTCCCTTCTGGTGGGCCTCAGTTTCACTATCTCTAGAATACAAGTTGTGAAACCCAGTGAACTCTCTCCTACCTCTGTGTCTTTGCACTTGAAGTACTTCCTGCTGTAACCCCTTGTCGACTTTCTCTCCCTAACTCCTTCTTACCCTATAAAGATCAATCCAGCTATCGCCTCCTTTCTGAAACCTTTCCAGTTTGTATTTTGTGTCCCTTTCTCTACCCCTTTGCCATCCATCAGAACAATTATTATGTTTTCATGGAACTTTATGCCTTCTGTGTATCTCCTTCATGAGATTGAGCTTGTTGAGAGCAGGGACTGTCTTAACTGTCTCATCAGTCTCTATTCCTAGCACTCAACACAGGACTTGGTACGTAGTAAATGAGCATATTAAATGAGTATATGTTTATTGGATGAATGAATTTAAAAATGAATGAATGGCTTTTAGGAGTTTAGAAATGGAATAGATTACTATGAAGAAAAGCAGTGAGAACATGAAACTTTTGGTTGGAACTTGTAGGGGGAAAGTTACAGACCTACTTAGTGTGGGTTTTGGGCATTGGATCCTTGCCAGCTCCAGGGTTTGGGGGAACATGGGGCCTGTTTTGTATCTTGATCTGGAAAAAAATGATTCATGGTCTCTCTTTCTTTCAAAGGGAGCATAGTGAGTGTGGGCGATCCTAAGAAGAAGTATACACGGTTTGAGAAGATTGGACAAGGGTTAGTAGGGGCATTTTCTTTCCCTAGAGAAATGACTTAAAATTGTGTGTGCTGGTATATATGATTTTGTTTTTGTTTTGCCTCTCGTAAACCTTGTTCTTCTTTCTCCACCTCACCCCTTACCCATCCAGAACTGTTATATTAGGCTGACTTCAGGTTTAGCAGAATGATGCTTAATATGAGAGATGTGCCATTAGCTGATCATGTTGCTAAAAATACCTCAGCAGTGAGTGAAAAAACCATTTGTTTTCTTAGCACAAAACCTGCTTCCCAAATTACAGGTCTGCTTTTCCAGATTAACCCTGATTACCTAGTGCTGAGACCTAGTAGCACTAATATGAAATAGGAGACTCAAAACTGCAGACCTTTCTGTTAGTGTAATGGGACTTTTTTCTAGGTGGATGCTAGAATTCGTCTCCTGCTCTCTGGTTCCTTCTCTGCATCTTGTATGCTCCCCTCAGTGTAATGAACTAAGCAAATTGTAACTGAGTTCCTATTATGTGCTAGGCATTGTGAATACAGCTATGAATCAGACACAGTCTCTGCCTCAAGGACCTCATGCCTACAGAATGAGATAAACAATCAAACAAAGAATTATGATATACTGTGATAAGTCTTAAAAAGTGTTTGGCTGTTATTTTGAGCAAAATAAGGCAGACATAAAAGAGCAGATACTGTATGATTCTATGTATATGAAGTTCAAGAACAGGCTAAACTAATACATGCTAATAGAAGTCAGAATAATGGTTCCCTCTGAGAGGGGGATGTTGATTCAGACGGGGTATGAGGGAACCTTCGGAAGTAATCTTGGTGGTGAACACATGGGTGTGTCCATCTGTAAAAAATCATCAAGTTGTATGCTCAAGGTTTGTGCAGAGTACTTTAGATAAGTTATACCTCTATCCTAAAAAGGAAAATAATGAGATTTCTACAGACCTGCCCAAATAGCTAAAATTAAAAACGAACTGAAAAAAAAAGTATCTGGCTTGTCGAAAGCTTTCAGTGTTAGTTGAATGAAAGCATTGGTGCTAATGAAATCATTGAAGTTTTCTGCTTTAGTTTTCTTTCTTATATATCCCATGACTTCTGAGACAAAGTATTACGTAATATACTGATGTTGTAGTTGGACAGCATTCTACAGCTTACATCTGTTATTTGCTTCTATTGTTTAATTTAATCTTCAAGATAACCCTGGACTTGAGTGGATCTCAGTTTTTCCTGGTCCAGTGTTTTTCCTACTAGACATGCTTTTGTGAATCGGAACTGGTATAAGGTAGTTAACATCCTGAGAAGAAATTATTTTGCTTGCCTCAGAGTAATCTGAGATGGCATTTCCTTTAGCTAATTACATTGAGATATTAAGAATGTAGTAGAAAGGTACACAGGCAAACGTGGGCTAGCCAGGTCCCACCCCTGGACTTCACTTTCTTTATCTGTAATTTCAAGGAAGAGGGGTTATTGATTCAGGGCCTTTCACCTCCAAAACTTCTGATTCTTTTTTCTTTTTTAATTCAGATGTATGAGGCCCATAAATAGGCAACATCTGCAAAATGTTTTTTCCTTGCTTATTTGACAAGTCTGTTAGTGCTAAGGGAGGAATGAACTATTTATTAAGCACCTATGGTGATGTTTCCATATTCCATGATTTCAAAAATATAAATACCACACAAATATGATGAATTCGTATGATTATAATTTTTGCTTGCTTTTTTTCCCTTTAAGACCTGAAGATTATTTTTTTTTTGACCTGGAATTCATATGTCTGTTCAAGGTAGAAATAATCAAGTACTAACCAGTGGGCCTGAGTAGCTTTCTAGACCTCTGTAATCATGGAGATATAGTCCCAAAATGTCCAGTCCCCCAAGGCCTGGGCATATTTGCCCCTTAAGAATGGTGCATCTGGTTGGATAAGGGCGGATAGTGATAGGAAGATAGATACAAGCTTTATGACAGAAGATGGCTAGAGGTAGGATAATCAGGCATTGGGGAAATAATTGCCAATGCAAATAATCCAATCCTTATTTGATAGCCAGTATCTTATGATCACAATTTCCTGGCATGTAGCTAGGGTCCCAACTAAAGAGTAGTGGTTGGGAAGCTGGTGACCATAATTTCTAGCAGCAAGGCAAACTTACAAGTGACTTTTCTCCCTGGATTGACCTGACTTCCCTGGGAAACATAATCTCAGGGCTTGTCTAGATTGCATTTTTGCAATACATGGAGTTTTAAATTTTTTCAGATTGCATCATATATATCTGACATATAGCATGTATAGTTATAAGTATTGTTGCATATCACCCACCTACAAACATACAGGGTTCGTGGTTATAGGCGTAAAACGAGGTTGGTTTTTAGTTATTTAGAATGAACATGATTACTTTCCTAGCATTATTCCTAGTATTTCTCTGCCTCCCACATGCCTTCCCTGTTGGCCACTAGAGCCTGTAATTCTCTTTATTAGAGTGGGGAGGGGCAGTGGGGAGAATTATTTTTGCTGCTCTTATTATTAACGCTTGCACTGCCAGATTATTTGTAGAACTGCATTTGACAAATGTCACTTCATTTAACAAGTTTTGTCTCTCTCTCTCCCACCTGTTGTTCAGTGCTTCAGGCACTGTGTACACTGCAATGGATGTGGCCACAGGACAGGAGGTGAGTATCCACCACCAACTGTTGCTCCTTCAGTTCTTTTTTATTTTTCTTTTTAGTTTTTAGTCCTTCTTCACTCAATAGGGACACTTCTAGTTTCTTACTATTGCAGACTAGAACTAAACAGGAGTAACACGATGAGACTTACAGATTTTGGAAAAAGTCACTGTGGCTACAGTGTCAAGAACAGATTGGAGGAGATAAGAGTGGAACAGGGGATTCTACTGTTCCAGGGGAACAGGAGTCAGGAGGTCATTGTGTAATTCCAGATGAGCTATGATGGTTTGGACTAAGGTGGTAGCATAGTATGAATGGGGAGAAGAGGATAGATTTGAGAGGTAGGTAGATTTGACGGAATTTGGTGATTGACTGAATGTGAAGATGACTCACAAGTGAGTGATATTAGTCAAGGAGAAAGAAAAAAGGTGGAGGTATAAATATGTTTGAAGAATTTGGATACTGCCTGAGAGACCTTCTTGTGGAACTGCCTGGTGGACAATTGTTTACACAGGTTTGGTGCTTGGGAGAGAAATCTGATATAGGAGAGATTTAAACACATGTCTCTTGACTCCTAATCTAGTGGTCCTTCCATTACTCTGTGCCCAGGATTGCAGTAGACATTGAAGTCCTCATTTGGAGGCACCTCTTCTCTCTCATTTCATTAAGCTGGGAGAACTCTGACCTTATTGCCAAGGCCTGCTGACCCAAGGTCTTACCTTCAGCAGAAGGAAGCCATGCAGGGAATGTAGAGTACTTGAGCTTTCCTTGGATTCTGCTCTTTGGTTGCAGAGCAGGAAGGTTGTCAGGTAGGCTGTGGATGAGGGATGCCTGGGGAAGTTCTTAGTTCAAAGAATACTGGGGCTCAGAGGTTGAGAGAGGCACCTCCTATTCCAATGAAAATAGAGTTGGGCTCCTATAAGGGAAGCTACTAGGACTTGCTTGTGTACGTTTGGCAGTTGAAGCCCCCTGGTATACTAGAGAAGTCATGGTTATTAGGGACAGCACGTATTTCACTGTACTTTTGTGAGTCTTTTATGAACGTCTAAGCCAGATACTGAGGCTCCATCAAGGGTAAGTCAACTTTAGAAAAACAAAATCACCATTATGATTAAGGATTTATTAATTGTTCTTTGAGGTGAGAATCCAACAACCTAGAGGCTTCCCTTTGTCTACTTATATAATCTTGGGCAAGTCATTTGACCTCTCTGAGCCTGAATTTTATTTATTTATGAAATACGCATGATAACATATACCTTATAAAAGTGTTGAAAGAATTCAGTAAAGCAGTGCATGTGAAAATACATAATAAACTTTAAGAATTATATATTTATTAATTTTTGTTTTTACATATTTATTTACTCCACAAAGCATTTACTGAACATTTGCTTTGTGTCACAACTTGTGCTAAGAACTCTATGAAAGATTCAGTCCTGTGCAAGCACTCAGACATTAAAATCATACATAAATGGAAGAGACTATACTTTCCATTGGGTACATATAAGTAAGTCTTGTGGTCCTGGAACCTGTGTTAAAATAATAGTGAGGAAGGAAGGATAGTATCATTGTACCAACTTTAAATATGGTTAATTAGATGCAGAGATAGAAAAGTGGAGGTTATACCAATCCTAAAAAGAACCCTATGAGGTAGGTAATAATATTTCCTTTTTATTGATGAGGAATTTGAGGCACAAAGAGTTTAAATAACTTTTGCAGGGTTGTGCTCAGCATTTAGCAAGGACTGGGTTAGAATCTTTTTTTTTTTTAAGATTTTTTTTTTTTTTTATTTTTCCTTTTTCTCCCCAAAGCCCCCCGGTACATAGTTGTATATTTTTAGTTGTGGGTCCTTCTAGATGTGGCATATGGGACGCCACCTCAGCATGGCTTGATGAGTGGTGCCATGTCCACACTCAGGATCCAAACTGACGAAACACTGGGCCACCACAGCGGAGCGCGTGAACTTAACCACTCAGCCACGGGGCCGGTCCCTGGGTTAGAAACTTTTGATTCTAAAACCTAAACCTGTACTTTCTGTGCTACAAGGCCACAGCAGAGCTAAGGTTAGGCACTAGCACCTTGTCATATTTCTGGCCTCTAGGCCCTTACAGCCTTTGATGGGAGGCTGACTGGTGATGAGTGGTTCCTGGAAGGCCTGGAGGCTGCACGTGTGAGAAGCTGGCCACAGGAAATAGAAACTTGATTTCACTATGTGCCTGCGTTGTGGTTAGAAAACTATGAATGGAATCAAGTCCATTAGGGTGGCTAATGCAGTGTGGTCAGGAAAGCCTCATTTCCTGCCCCAGGGAGTACAAATCTCTAGTGGAGCTGGCAAGATGTTTTCAGTCTTGGTGAGTGAGTGCTTACTGGGGGTTATCCAGCTGGAAAGAGCAGAGCTATTGTCTGTCACATATAGGAAGATTAGCATGTTAGTGCTGGGAAGTCTTCCAGTTACAGATTCAACAATTATTTTTCAAACCCGTTTTTAGAGGGAATGTGTACATTAGAAGGAATAGACTGGAAGAGGCTTTGGAGTCATATAGACCTTTGGAGTCATATAGGCGCTGATTATGACCTTGGGCAATTTTCTTGTGTCTTAGTGTCAATTTCCTTACCTGAAAGTGCAGATAATGATTTTTACTTGGTAGGGTTGTTGTTAGGTTTTCCTAAGATAATGTAAGTACAGCACTTAAGCACTAGCACACAGTCGGCATTCGATAAACAGTAGTGGTGGGAGGATGGTTGGTTTCTGCTGATGTTGTCATTCCTGTTGCTCTGAGCCAGGTACTCATCAAATTAAGTTATTACTATGATTAGCATTCTCATTGTTGTCTTTATTATTTAAATTTATAACTTTTATATGAGTAACACATTGGCTACTATCTCATTTAGTCCTCAAAACAATCCTGTGAGGAGCAGAATCGAGGTTGGGATTATTATCCTCAGTGTATTGATAAAGAGACTGAAGCTCAGAGAGCTTACGATTGGTCAAAGTCAGTAAGTGACAGACTCAGCCCCAGAGCTTAGGTCCTCAGAGTTCAAGTCTAGTTCTTTTTGTATTATAGGAGTGCTACCTGTTGGCCTCAATAGAAGGGATCGGATTAGGTGAAGGGTGTTTAGCCTAAACCATAGTTTAGGACTATATAAGGCTTACTATACTTAATGTAATAGGCTTTAGATCAATGTTTTGCTCTTTATACATTAGAAAAAGCTAATAATCAACGTTATAGGCAACTGCAGCTGGAGCAGAAGCCCAACCTGATAGGAGACACGACTCCAAAGCAATTTTTCTCACTTGGGGTAGGAAATGGAGGTGGTCAAGACATTTAAAAGAATCATTTCTATTCTTATTGATGAACTAGATCTCTACAGAAGACTGTCCATACTTGAAAAAATAATTGGAGTTTTTTCCGTAAAAATTTGAATTTTATTCATCCTTTACACTTCTTGCTGCTTCTGGAAAGACTAATTTAATTGTTCTGTGAGTTGTTCATGTTTTTGTCTGTTTAAGCAGGAAAAAGAGAAAATTTCTCTAAGGAATAAACATTTAGGAAATAATTTAAAGTCTACTCCTGTGGGATAGAGTAGCCTATTGGTGATGCTTTTTGTGGTTCAAAAACAAAGTACTTATCACCCCACTGAATTTTCTCTTTCCCTCTTCATTTCTACAAACATTATTGAGCACCCACTGTGTGTCAGGCCCTGTGCTTGGCACCAGGGATTCTGAGCTTTCAAATGAGCTCTCAAGCTTCTAGAGAGATACACCCTAACATCATACTAGGCAGTATCTGGTGAGTTCCATAAGCACTTTCTATGGACCATAAATATGATCTTAAGGGGCTTTAAAGAAGGGGAAAAGCCTGTCTGGTTTGGAGAATGGAGTTTCTTTAGGCCTGATACAAAGTATAAATAGCTTTTGAACATGTGAAAATGATGCAAAGTATTCCAGTTGGAGAGATAATCAGATCATGGAGTATATGAAGGAATACAGTGGGAAGTAAGAAAGGGGTCAGATCATGAGAACTTTGAATGTTGGGCTGAGGAACATTTCTAGGTAAGCAGGAGCCATTTATGTTTTTGAGCAGGGTAGAGGGTTATCAAATGTGTACTGTGGGGAAGATTAGTCTGTCCGTATGTACAGGATAAATTGGCATCACTTTTGAGGGTTCTTATCCTGATTTTGCTACTGAATAGCTGTGTGCAAGTCACATATCCTCTCTGAATCAGTTTCTTTATCTGTCAAAAGGGGTCAGTAGTAATACTTAGCTCATAAGGTATCTCTGAGGATTAAATGAAATAAACTTGAGAATACCTTACATAGTACCTGACACATAGAAGAAATGGATGCAAAAGTGCATTGGAGACTAATGTACGCTTTATATTTATATTATGTGGAAATTCTTTTACTTCTATAGACAAAAAGCTTATCAAGATCTTTTTTCACACATAAACATTAGAGATCTCATTCTTGTTTTCTCTTTTAACCTGGTCAACTGTGATTTACCTTTCCACACCAAGTTCAAAAAGTCATCTCCCTCTTTATGAAGCCTCTCTACATTGCCAGTTTAAAAGAGGTCTTGCCCTATTTTGTGTTTTCTGTAGCATTTTGTATGGACTTTTGTTATAGCGGTCCTCTTAAAAATATTGTGATTTTTAGAAAGTATTTTTCTAATATAAATATTTTATTTAGTAGCAAGTTTGATCCTCAAACTTTGGTGCACATCAGAATCACCTGGAGGACTTAGTAAAACACAGAGTTTCTGATTCAGTAAGTCTGGGTGGGGCCTGAAAAATTTCATTTCCAACAACAGATGATGTTGTTGCTGCTGGTTCAGGGTCCTCAGATTGAGTACCACTGGTCTATGTTAATAAGTTCTGAATTCCTCAAGGGCTAAGACTGTCCTATTCGTCTCCGTCTCCTTAGTGTTTAAGGTCTGGTACGTAGTAGATGCTCAGTAAATGCTGAGTGACTCTGGTTGCACATTGAATGTACTCTGATTCCAGGTGGCCATTAAGCAGATGAACCTTCAGCAGCAGCCGAAGAAAGAGCTGATTATTAATGAGATCCTGGTCATGAGGGAAAACAAGAATCCAAATATTGTGAACTACTTGGACAGGTATGGAGTGATAGCTTCCGTCGGAGAGAGAGGCCCTTCAGGACTGATGGCTGGTAGAGCTGTCAGAGGAGAAGGCAACACCAGCTCTCAGAACTGCCTCCATTTAAGAATCTTCTATGATGCTTAGCTCTCTGACTCTGACCCTGTGTCCTGCTAGACAGCTCTGATTACTGCACAGTCTTTGTGGATTAAGCTGAACCATACCACCCTGCAGCTTCTAACCTCTGGTCCTAGTACTGTTTGTTCTGCCTCAGGGAAGCCCTTCATCCCATCTGCTGGAGTCAAACATGTAGGTCTTCAAATCATTCTGCATCCCAAATCTTTTCTTATCCTTCTCACCCTCCTGAATAACTTCTCGATTGTCTGTTTTCTCTTAAAATGTGACACACAGTAGTTTCATTTGAGATTTGACCAGTATGGAGAGAGTGGGACTCCTCCATTGTTCTAAACACAACACAACCTAATGATTTCATTCATTTTATATTTTAGGAAGTCGTTTTCATTGTTGACCCTAGTAAGTTTGTAGTCAATTAAAACCCGATTCTTTTTTACATGAGCTTGCCTTAAACCGGTAATGTAGAACTTTTTAATTATCTTGATTAAATCCCATTTTGATTATTTTCAGCCCATCAGAATTCTGTTCTTCAACATAAAATAGTGGTTGTAGCTAACATTTGTCTTATGCTTTACTTTTGTACCAAGCACTTTCATTAACAGTATCTCATTGTGAGGTAGGGTTTATTATCTATATTTTACAGATGAAGAAACTGAGGTTCATAGAAGTTAATAACTTGTCCAAGACCAGTAAGCCAGTAAGTAGCAAATGAGGGTTTTGGATTTGAATATTCCTAGCACCAACATTCATGCACTTTCCAGCATATCATATTCTTTTCTCCCATATCTGAAAAAAGAAAGTGAGCTGCTTGCCCGGGTTTCAGAGACTTCATAGGTGGAGGTGATATTGGACTAAGTCGTCAAGTCTAATTCCTTTACTATTTATATTGCATTGCCAGCTAGATCTCATTTCTGCCAGGTTTTGCCAGATTTCCTGTTCTTCATCTAAAACATTTGGTAAGCTTCTGTTTCTTTAAAGAGGAAGAGAGTTGGGCTTTGACCTTCCCAACAAATGATGTTGAAAGCTGTAGAGAATAAAGCCTTTTCCTTTTGGGGGATGATTGTCTCTCATGATGTGGGCCATGACTGGCTCTGAACAAGTCTCTGAAAGTTATTATTCACCTTCCCATCTCTTTTAAGAATTTATTATGCAGAGAATAAAGCTTGAACAAATTACTGAATGCTATAAGGGTACTAGATTTTTGGCTCATGATAAGGAAAAATTAAAGCTGTCCAATAAGGGTATGGCCTGTCTTATAAAATAGTGAGTTCCTCATCACTGGAGGTATCTAAACACTAAAATGCATGACCATGTTATTGAAGGAATTTGTGTTCTGGAAATGGGATTAGAAGATTTATAAATTGGTTGATCACGCCTTTGCTGGTGTCTCCAGAGGCTTTTACTGTGGAATCAGAAGTAAGTAAGGCTCAGTCCCTGCCCTGAAATAGCTCCCAGTCTAGGAGAGAAAAAAATGACCTGGGAGCTCCTGTAGGAGGACAGAAGTGGGCGCCTACTAACCCGAGCATTCAGTGAAGGTACAGAGTCTGGTTTTTGTGAGTTGTCCCAGAGGAGAACTCTATATTTGTTCTTCTCCAAATATGTGAGGCTCTGAGGCTTTACCTTAATATGTGATTTTTGAAGATACCTTGCTACAGTGTGTAGCCACAAAGTGTTTGAGTCAACCTGAGTCTGGTCTTGCATTTTCTTAGCTTTGACAGTGACATGTGGGCCTAGGTAAAGGGGCTCTGCTTTGTTAATGTCCAGAGAGAGTCTCTTGGACCTCATATTTCTTCCCCTAATCAGTCCAAGTTGACAGATGTCTTCTCAATGTGCCAGATGAGAGGCCATAAATGTGCATTCTTTGTCAAGAGAGGAAATAGGTTCATGCCGGTGGAGGGTTTTTTACCCAGTCCTGAATTCTCTTTTGGTCCAAATCCCCATAGTCTTCTCTTTCAAAAGAGATTGTTGACAAAAGACTTAATCTGTCATATTTATTCTTCACAGACATTAAAAAACTACAAGACGTTCAATTATAAAGAATGCAGAATCTTATGCAAAGAGTACTAGATTGATTCATAATCAAGAGAATAGGATTCAAATCTTACCCGTTGCTTGAGACCATTTGTTTTTTTCCAACAGTCTCCCCATCTGCCTAGCGGTAGTCCCAATGTCACGATGAAGATAAGATGACGTACCACACAGCTCAAGCCATTCTAATCTAGCTCCTTTGTCTAAAGCTAGCAGAAGAATCTGTGGGGCTCTGGGTTATCCTTGTTTTTATTTATCTTATTCTACAGCTGAGGAAACTGACCAGACAGGCTAAGTGACCTTTTGTTTATCACGTAACAGGGCTGAGTGATCCAATCCCTGAGTGGAACTATCAGTTCTAACTCACGTCAGCCCCATAATCTCTCTAGGGATCCAGTACTAAATGGCAGCCCTTGGCTTACCAGAAGAGGCTTTGGCTCTGCAGCCCTTCCTGAATTCATTCCATTGCTAGAATCAGAGACACTCAAAATGGAGATCATTGTCAGCATAATGACTATGACTTGACAGCTTTTGAATGTATTTTATAGCCATTGTTTTATTTAATATTTACAGTTATCTTTTATTTTACTTTCTATTTATTTAAATATTGGCATCTACTGTGCTGGCCTTGGGGGATGGAGTCTTGAACAGGACCCAGAACTTAGCCTCATGGATCTCAGATCCAGTAGAACTCTTAAGGAGGTGTAGTGACTTTCCCTAATGTTGGCAACATGGACTCCAAATCCCGTCTTTGTCAAATGTTTGGGTGCTCTCTGCTTTGATGCTTTTAGAGGTGTGGGAATCATGCCTAATTTTAGGAAGGATTACTTTGTGCTGTGATGAAATATAATTTTATTGTATCTTCAACCTAGCGATCTTAGTTCTGTCCTTTGGGACTTCACAGAAAAGCCAGCTTTGTTTTCTCCAGGCGAATCCTTAAGAGATGTCAAATTAGTGATTCTGTGCCCCAGATTCTGCTTTTCCCCGGAAAAAGGAACCCTAGACTCTTCCAGAGCTGATGGAAATGCGGGTTCACTCTGCGTATATGCGTAGCCTTGGAAACCCAGTGCTGTGGCTCAGTGTACTCTATTCTTTCTCATCCTTTATCTGTACTCCCTGCAGTTACCTCGTAGGAGATGAGCTGTGGGTTGTCATGGAATACTTGGCTGGAGGCTCTTTGACAGACGTGGTGACAGAAACCTGCATGGATGAAGGCCAGATTGCAGCTGTGTGCCGTGAGGTAAGGCCAATGGCCAACTAGGCAGGAAGTGGCCTCCAAATCAGTCTCTCTCAAAATTCTGCACCTGATAGGATCTCAGCCTGGGCACTCTGGAGGTGGGAGAAATTAGTTGGACTCTCCTATCATTCTCATATTACACCTGTTTTTGAAATTCCTATCACCATGATTTTTTCTTTAAAGACAACTTTCTTCCAGTTATAAAATTACATACCCTTTGTAGAAAAATTAAAAAGTACCAAAAATATATAATACATTAAAAAATCACTTATAATTTCAACCCTTAAAGATAACTGCTGTAAATACTTTGCAATATTTTCCTTTCTCTCTTTTATATGGATATAGATTTTAAACATATTTTTATTCTGCTTTCCTGCTTTCTTCATGTGCAATGAAGGAAATAAAGTAGAGTAAGACAGTAGTGACAGAGAAGGTACTATTTTAGACAGAGTAGTCAGGGAAGTTTTTGCCATAGATCTGAATGATATGAAAAAGCAAGCCAAGCGAAAATCTAGGGTAAAAATACTTCCAGGCAAAAGAAATAGAAAACAAAGCTTAAATAGGTATTTTTCTTTCTCCTCACCACTATTAAATTCTAAGGTGTGTAATATGCTAGTGTAAGAAGAGGGGAAAAAGCCTCCACGAGGGCCCTATGAGAAGCAGTGTCTTCAGGGAATAGCCACATTTTCATTAGAGCAAGAAGATGAAAGGAATATTCAGAGAAGTTGAAGACATTGGGTGTTTTGCTGATAAAAGACTGAAACTTTCCAATAGCCCAATAATAGAAAAGTTTGGGAATTAGGGAGAGAGTAGAAGATTAGGCGATTAGAAGATTAGGTTCAGAGTTGTATGGGGATGAATCTAATAGTAAGATTGAGGTTTGATGATGTAAGATCTGGTGGCATACAGATCAAATTATGTAGTTGCATATTTAATCGATATTAGGAAAAATAAAATCATGTGAAATCCATACTGTCCTAGAAAATATGATCACCTTTGCATTAAAAACCCTGGGGTCTAGAATACGCACACTTAGGTTAATGGAATTTACACAGGCTTGAGATTCTTAGGAGATCTGACTTATTTTCTTTGCTGTACCACTAAGGCAGTGTTTCTCAATTTTTTTTCATTATCTCCTCCCTCCCCCACCAAGGAGCCTTTTAAGACATTTTTTCCTAATCACATTACCCCCATGAAATTTAAGACCATAGATAATACTGTATATCTTTTTATGTACCATGGTCCTTCTGAAGGCCACAAACCATTGTAGTATCTAAGATGTTTTGCACTCACCCCAGGAACAGACTGTCACTGGTTAAGAATACATGCGTAAATGTGCTTGGGGAAATCAATTTGCCTCAAATTATTTATCTTTAAAATGGGAACTGCAGGGGCTGACCCCACGGCCTAGTGGTTAAGTTCAGCACGCTCCACTTTGGCATCCTGGGTTCACAGGTTTGGATCCAGGTGCTGACCTACACTGCTCATCAGCCATGCTGTGGTGGCAACCCATATACGAAATCGAGGAAGATTGGCAGAGATGTTAGCTCAGGACAAATCTTCCTCACAAAAAAATTAATAAATAAAATGGGAACTACAATATTCATACTGTATATACCTTAGAGATGCCATATGGGTCAAAAAGAGCTTGGAAAAAATTTTCAATGTTACATAAATAGGTAGATTACTGTTATCCTTAAGTGCTCATAGAGATCATCCCACCTTTTAAAAATAGCTTTATTGAGATATAATTCACACACCATATAATTCACCATAAATTATATAATTTAATGGTTTTTAGTATATTGAGCTGTACAACCATCACCACAATCAATCTTAGAACATTTTCATTACCGCCAAAAGAAACTCCATACCCATTAGCAGTCAATCCCCACCAACCCCACTTCCCAACCCTCCCAGTCCTATGCAACCACTAATCTATTTGCTGTCTCTATAGGTTTGCTTGTTCCAGACATTTCATATATTTGGAATCATGTAATATGTGCTCATTTGTGACTGATTTCTTTCACTTAGCATAATATTTTGAAGGTTCATCCATGTTATAGCATATATCAGTACGTTATTCCTTTTATTAGCAAGTAAGATTCCATTTATTTGTCTGTTCACCATCTGATGGATATTTCGGTCATTTCTACTTTTTGGCTATTATGAATAATGCTATGAACATTCATGTACAAGTTTTTGATTGAAGGTATGTTTTCATTTCTCTTGGGTATATGCCTAGGAGTGGAACTTCTGGTCATATACAATTCTATGCTTAGTATTTTGAGGAATGGCCAAACTGTTTTCCAAAGTGGCTATACCATTTTATATTCCTGCCAGCAAGGTATGAGGGTTCCAATTTCCTGAAATCATCCTTTTAGATCATAATTTTTGACATCTAGAGGCCAGGGTCTCCAGCCTCCTAAGGAAAGCAACTCTTACTTTTTCAGGGAAAAGCCATATCTAGATATTGGTTTGTTCTTAATTTAGCCATTGGCATGTTCTTATAAAGTGAATTATTAATTTGAGAGCATTTAAATAGTATTTTCCAATTGGTTTGCATCTTTAGTGTTTTTCAGTTAGTAGAAGCTTCTAAAATTTTAGTTTGGGGTTATGGACTTAAACTAGTGGACTTAAAGCAAACTTGATTTTGTTTATTTGAGCTTTCTCCCTTTTTTTCTTTGTAAGTCTGGCTAGTGGTTTGTCAATTTTATTTATCTTCTCAAAAAACCAGCTCTTTGTTTCACTGATCCTTTCTACTGCCTTTTTCGTTTCAATAGTACTTATTTCTGCTCTGATTTTTATTATTTCTCTCCTTCTGCTGACTTTGGGCTTTATTTACTCTTTTTTCTCTAGTTCAGTTAGCTGTAGTTTTAAGATTGCTTATTTGGGATTTTTCTTGTTTGTTAAGATGTGCCTGTATTGCGATGAATTTTCCTCTTAATACAGCTTTTGCTGTATCCCATATGAGTTGGTATGGCATGCTATCATTTTCATTTGTTTCCAGGTATTTTTTTATTTCTTCTTTAATTTCTTCAGTGATCCATCCATTGCTTGTTCAGTAGTGTGTTGTTCAGTCTCCACATCTTTGTGCCTTTCTCAGCTTTTTTCTTGTAATTAATTTCTAGCCTTATAGCACTATGATCGGAGAAGATGCTTGTTATTATTTTAATTTTTTTAAATTTGTAGAGGCTTGCCTTGTTTCCCAACATATGGTCTATCCTTGAGAATGTTCCATGTGCAGTTGAGAAGAATGTGTATTCAGCTCTTTCAGGGTGAAGTGATCTATATATGTCTGACTTAAAGCAAACTTGAGATTATCTTTTCTGATCCTTGCATTTTACATACGGGAAAACATTAGCCCAGACAGAGTAAGTGATTTGTCTAGAATGATATTGTTGATCGGGTAGTGGCAGAACCAGGCATTCATAGTTCCATTCAGTCTATGTTACTCATTCTGCCTGCTAAGTATAGGTGTTTTCCAAGGTCCTTTTTTTTCTCCTCTTATCTTCTATATCATTTGCCAGTGACAACCATTCCTATAAGTTAAAAAAAAAATCACCTCTTCACAAATGACTTTTAAATATTTATCTCACATCCAGACCTGTGTATAGAATTTAAGACTCATATTTTCAGTTGACTCCTGGACATTTGTCTGCAAATGGTCATAGGTATATAAAATTCAACATACCCAAAACAGTACAAATTATCTCCTCACCAAAATAAGATGATTCCTAACTTCACTGCTTCTAATATCACTTCCATAGGTCTGGTTTCCCAAATATGTCTCTTATTTGTCACTTTCCTCCAGTTTTATCATTACAAAATGCTTTCCCTTCTTCCTCAGTCGTTTTTCTTGGGCCTCAGGTTTTTTGTCAAGGATCTAATGTTCTGTAAAAGATTTCAAAATACATTGGAGGAACTCATGTACTTAAAACTATTATAAGGTATAATAAGATACATGATAAGAAAGGAATAAGGCAGCATGGAGTGTTAAAAGAATGTTGAGACAGAAGACTAGGTTCTGGACCTACTTCTGCCACTAATTTGGAGGAAGTCATTTTACTCACTGGGGACTCACTCTCTTTATCACAAAATGAAGAGGTTGGATTAGTTGATTCTCTATGTGTCTTCATATTATATGTTCTTTTTTTCTCCCTCTGCCCACACCACTTCAATAGTGCCTGCAGGCTTTGGAGTTTCTGCATTCAAACCAGGTCATTCACAGAGACATCAAGAGTGACAACATCCTGTTGGGAATGGATGGCTCTGTCAAGCTAAGTGAGTAGGAGTGATAATACTTCTCTTCCCTGTGGGACCCTGTCTCCTGTGGGATGGTAATCATAAAATAGTAGTTACAGGACTCACCAAAGGGTCTTTGTTTATTTTCTGGGAAATGTGAGCTCTTTATATTATTCAGCACTGTATAGGGTGTCATTTCTTTTTTTTTTTTTAATTCATTTATATATTCAGCCAAAAAAATTTACTGAATGCCCATTAGGTCCTGTGCTTGGTCCTGTGCTGGGCACTGAGGAAACTTTTGCTCGTCTTCAAGAAGTTCTCAGTCTAGTATGGGAGACATGAAATACATAATTAGAAAAAAGTTTAGTGTGATTTCTTTCATTCAGTCATTCATTCAGCAAACTTTTATTAAATGTCTTTTTTATGCCAGGCACTCTGGGAATAAAAAAATGAGTAAGAAGACGTAGTCCTTCCTATCCAAGCCCTCATGATTTAAACAAACATGATTGCATTAACATATTATATTATGTGAATGAACTGCAGGCAGAACATTTCGTTGAAAAGTGTAAAGACCAGTCGTCCAGACAAATAGGTTGTGTCACACCTTATGGGAAGACTGTTAACAGTCTCTGTCCTGGGGCACAGGGTGATGAACTGATAAAAGCAGGGCCATGCCTATTTGTAGGTGATTAGGGTTTAAGTCTGGGACTCATGCCTAGAGAATAAAGCAAGGATCCAGTTGCCAGATTCTGGGGGGCATGGGCATGGTTTTCAAGAAGAAAGCAGAATTAGGGCAAGTAATCAAGGCCAAAATGGGCAGCTTGGACTTTAATGCCTAGTCCTTTTGGTTTGAGGAGGGGGAGGAAGACAGAGATGATGTTTCTTATGTTCGTCCTACTTCTCTTCAAGGTTGCACAGGGACACGATAAGAGCTGGACATGACGGTGGCAGTTATGACTCCAGCTTTGGAGAGACAAGGGATTGCAGTGGCTGGGAGCCAGGCAGAGCTTGCCACCTAGGGGTAGGCACACAGTCAATACTTATGGAAGGAGTACCCTAAATAATAAATCTTTTTCTTTTTTTTTTATAGCTGATTTTGGATTCTGTGCCCAGATCACCCCAGAGCAGAGCAAACGGAGCACCATGGTGGGAACCCCATACTGGATGGCGCCAGAGGTTGTGACGCGGAAGGCCTATGGGCCCAAGGTTGACATCTGGTCCCTGGGCATCATGGCCATTGAAATGATTGAAGGGGAACCCCCATACCTCAATGAAAACCCTCTGAGAGTGAGTGTTACTAGTCCCATTTCAAGATGTTTGGGCTGTTGTCTTTAGTCCCAGGAAATGGGACTCAGGCTGTTCCCTATGGCTTTTAACCTGGATCTCTCTTTTCTGGATAGAACTAGGCACTGTTGAATTTAAAGTATAAATGCTCAAAGAAAAGGGATATTAGCAGTCACTCATTCATTTATTCAGTGATTATTTGAGTTCCTATCGTGTGCAAGGAACTGTTCTGATAATAAAATAATATCTAATGGCAGAAGGTAAGTGTCGTGAAAAAAAGCAGAGTAAGGGATTTAAGAGAGAAATGGCGGGAGGAGGGAGAAGTGTGCTATTTTATTTAGGGTAAAGAAGGAAGTCCAGTCTTCTAAGTTAATTGAGCAGAAACCTAAAGAATGTAAAGGAGCAAGCCATGAGATTAATCTGACAAGAATTTTCTAGGTATCAAGTATAACAAAGGACTGGATTTGAGAACATGCTGCTTGTGTCCTGGGGAAAACCAAGGAGGCCAGTGTCCCTGAAGTGAGTGAGCAGGGTGGAGAATGGTAGACAAGGTCAGAGAACTGGCAGGGCTAGATCAGGTAAGATCCTGTGGCTATTGTGAGAATGGGGCTTTTATTCTGCAGGAAACTGGGAACCATTGGAGGATTTTGAGCTGAGGAGTATTATGATCTGATTTATGTTATAAATGAATCATTTTGGGTGCTTTTATGGAAAACAGACTGTGAGATACTCTTGTAATTGTTCAGGTAAGAGTGGTGGCTTGAACTGTATTGGTAGGAGCGAAGAATGGTTGGTCTCAGGAAATATCTTGAATGTACAGCTGACAAGATGAATTAGATATCACAGAAAGAGGAATCAACAGTGACTACAAGATTTGGGGCCTTAATTGCTGAAAAAATTCAGTTGCCATTTACTGAGAAGGTTGAAGAGCAGGTAAAGTGAGATGATAAAGAGTTGGTTTTGAATGTGTTAATTTGAAATGTTTATTAGACATCCAAATGGAGATATTGAATAGAGTTGGTCATATGAGCCTGGAGTTCAAGGGTGAGAGATCAGGACTGTAAATACAAATTTATTAGTACGTAGTATATAGTTGGTTCATTTAAAAATCAGAACTGGATGATAAATGAGATTGCTCACCTAGGGAGTGAGGTTTGAGTACTGAGCCCTGGGGTACTCCTGTCTTTACCGGTTGGAGGAACTAGCAAAGTAGACAAGGAGTGGCCTTCCTGGAAGGAGGGGAACTGAGAGAAGTGTGTCCTGCAGGCCAAGAGAACAAAGTATTTCAAGAAGGAGGGTGGATCACTGTGTCAAATGTGACTGATAAGTTGTATAAGACTGAGAAATAAACATTAGATTTGCCACTGTGGAGGTTGTTGATGACCTTGACAGTCAGCATCAGCAGAGTGATGGGAATGGAAGCCTAATTAGAGAACATTCACCAGAGTGGGAGAAGCTGAGATGGCATGTATAAGCAGTTGTTTTTTGTTGTTGTTTTTTGTGGAGTTTTGCTGTTAAGGGGACAGAGAAATGGAGCAGTATTGTGAAGGGCAGTCGAGGGAGGGCTTGTTTTTTTTTTAAAGATGCTGTTACACATGTTTGTGTGCTGATGAGAATGATCTCCTGGAGAAGAGGAAAATGGTCACGTCCCAGAGCAAAGTGCCATCTGTAGGAATGATGTTCTTAAGTAGATGAGAGCGGTTGGATCAGTAAGGAGTGTTAGATTAGAGTACAGATAATTTATCCTTCGTAATAGGAGAGGGAAAGCAGAGTATATGAATACAGATGCAAGTAGTTGGTAATTTTGGTCATAGGCAAATGTGAGAGTTATTTTGATTGCTTTTATTTTCTCATTCATTTCAACCTCCCATCCAGTGTAGGAATTCCCTGTGTGTTGTCGCTGATAGACAGTCATCTAATCTTAACTGGACACCTCTTGGATAGCTCTGATTATTGGAAAGTGCTTCCATGTACCAAACTGAAACTGCCTTCTGTATTTTGGTCCCAGCTTTGTTCTCTGAATCCACACACCAATCACCTTCCCCCGTCTTAGAATGGCCTTGAAAATGATGATCAGTAAGGTATGATGGAAATAAGACTAGGATTAGAGTCAGAGGACATGAGCTCGTACAAACAGCATGATCCCAGGCATATCTCTCTCTGTTTCTGGACTTTATCTGTGAAATGGGGCTGCTAATTCTTGCCCTGCCTATTATCCAGAGTTATTGTGGTCATTACATGAGTGTTTGTGTAAGCACTTTGTGAATTAAAGTGCTGAGTGCTTGAGAAGAACTGTTTTTCTTTCCCTTTCCCAGGAGATGCTTTATGTTAGGGGACCAGGGAGGCAACAGTGCAACAGGTTGCTGCTTTACAGAACACTTCCGTTTTATATTCCCCTCCTGCTGGAAGAGATCAGTTCTTAAGATGACTGAGGTGAAGGCACCAGGAATAATTTCCTCCAGCAAATGGGCAGATGTTTAACTCATCAGGCTAGTGAATAATAAACCCTTTAGATCTGTAATCAAGAAGAATAAACCCTTGGGTCTGTAATACACTTCATAAGTTTACAAAGTGCTTTCCTATATATTATCTTGTTTTATTTTACAGACATGTGAGATAGGCACCATTATCCTCCCTATTTTACAGATGAGGAAGTTGGAAGTTTACTGGCTTGCACATGGTCACATGACCTCTAAATGTTAAACCTGATCCTTAGGTCATTTTCTTTCCGATATACCAAAGCTGCCTCTTTGTGTCCTAGAGGCATAAAACAGCTGACCATATTTCTAGAGGGCATGTCTGGGGACCAAGAGAGAACTTCCAGTGGGAGCCTAAGGTCATTCTCCATTTGTATTTCCAGGCCTTGTACCTCATTGCCACCAATGGGACCCCGGAGCTTCAGAACCCAGAGAAGCTGTCAGGTATCTTCCGGGACTTTCTGAACCGCTGTCTTGAGATGGATGTGGAGAAGAGAGGTTCAGCTAAAGAGCTGCTGCAGGTAACTGTCCCTTTGCAGGGGAGCACCTAATTTGAGGAATCACTAAGCCAAGCCTTTTTTGCTTCATTTTTGTCTGTGGGGTATTGGTTATTATAGAACTAGGCTTCTCTCCTACCACTTCCCACACTCACCCTATATTCCTAATTCCCTAACCTTCTTCATCCCTGGGGCTTTGCTCACATTATTCCCTTAGGCTCTTCCTCAACCTATTAAAACTCTATACATTCTCTAGGTTCAGCTTAAAAATCTTTCTGAGCTCCTATTGAACTTTGCCTATATTCTTCTTTCTTTTTTGCTGAGGAAGATTCTCCCTGACCTAATGTCTGTGCCAGTCTTCCTCTGTTCTGTATATGGGTTGCCACCACAACACGGCTGCCAATGAGTGGTGTAGGTCTGTGCCTGGGACCCGAACCTGGGCTGCAGAAGTGGAGCACACCAAACTAACCACTAGGCCACAGGGCAGGGCCCAGCCTATATCTTTCTTTAGTACTTCTTTTATTCTGCTTGAATTAGTCTAGCAGAGTTTGAGTCTTGGTAAGAAGAAATGCAAATCTCTGACATGCAAATATTACACAAATTATATTTTACTGAGATAAGCGCAAAAGATCCATTTTCAGTAAAGGATTTCAGAGGATGTAAGTTTAGAGGATAGTTAACGAATGCAGCTTTTCCAGACTTCCCAGTTTCTTCATTGGAAACCCTCTCAAATGGTGGCGGTGATGTTCTGCTTGTTTGGAGTGCGATTCTGCCAGGTTGTGGGAAGCCTGGAGCTGGGAGTTTACCAAGCTGCGTGTACTCCCACCCGCTCAATCCTGACATTACGGCATAATTATTTCATATGGTTGCAAAAGCTGCCTTTAGCAGGCCACATTATTTGTATTTAACATTTATGTTCCAGGTACAATTTCTTCTTACTAGTGTCATTTTACTATGTTGCCTACTGGCGACTTAATAATAAGTATCACCTGCAACTCTAGCACAGTGATTAACCCGTAGGCGTGCACAGTCAGTTACTTTCGTATTATGAGGACCAAGAGGAACTGAGCATTGCGATATCCCAACAGTCAATCTGATGGCCAAGACAGCTACTAAGTGACTAACTGGCAAGTAGCGTATACAGGGTGGATATGCTAGACAAAGGGATGATTCATGCCCCAAGCAGGTTGGAGCGAGATGGCACAAGATTTCATCATGCTCCTCAGAACAGTGCAATTTAAAACTTAGGAATTATTTATTTCTGGAATATTCCATTTAATATTTTCAGACTGCGGCTGACTGCGGGTAACTGAACTTGCAGAAAGCAAAACACGGATAAGGGGGGACTACTGTACTGCCAAACAGCTTTCCAAAATGGGGGTTTGTTATCTTTTAAAGATGTCCTTCAATTTGGGGATGGTCTGAAGCTCTCCAGGCAGCACCTTGTGCAAATGTGGATGCTCTTAACATCTTGTAGTGGTTGCTGAGGAAGAATGATAGTCATGTGTCTTTTGCTCTTTCTCTCCTTTTCTAGCATCAGTTCTTGAAGATTGCCAAGCCCCTCTCCAGCCTCACTCCACTGATTGCTGCAGCAAAGGAGGCAACCAAGAACAGTCACTAAAACCACGCCCACCCCAGCCTCATTGTGCCAAGCCTTCTGTGAAATAAATGCTCATTTCAGAAATTCCAACCCCTGATGCCCTCTCTTCTTTGCCTTGCTCTTCCCATTTCCTGATGTAGCGCTCTCAAGACTTTGATCCTTGAAAACTGTGTGTCCAGCATTGAAGAGAACTGCAACTGACTAATCAGATGACGGCCATTTCTAAATATGGAGTTTCCTCCCAATAGTGGATGTGAGGGTGGTTTACGATCAAGAGCTTATATGAATAAACCCTTGGACTCCTATTTCTACATAGCAAAATCTCCACCCCTCCAGCCTCCCCTTTGCCAGTCACTTCTTAACTATATAAATTTTTGGCTTTATAACATTATCAATTTGTAATTGGTTGAGATTTCTTTAGTGCTTGCTTTTCTGTGACTGAATTGCCCAAACACCTTATTTTACTGAAAATTGGAACAGCTTGAGGAATGCCTTGGGGGTTAATAATCTGCCAGGGACATGAAATGGCTCATCTTCCTGGACCATGACTTTGGCGCAGCTGATCCTGATATGGGAGAGAGAGCTACCACGTTTTTCTTTGTGTATGCTTCTAGCAGCTCTTTGGGAGAATCTTGACCCAGTAGTGTTCTCTATGCTATTTCTTGTGAAATGCTCTTGGCTATGTAGCAGCTTTTGACTCCCTACATCCCCTAGGCTGCTGCCCCCATTCTGTCCTTGTTTATAACATTGAGAGGTTTCCTAGGGCACATGCTGGGTGAGAGTGTGAAAAGTCAGGAAAAAAATGTAGCTGCTTTTAGAATACGGCTGGGCATCAGCATCTGTCCAGCTATACCTATGTGACGTTTCAAGAACTCAGCCTCTTTTTCCCATCTGGATAAGGAGCTGAAAGATTAACTCAGATCTGCTGGAGGCCTGAATCTTTGGGTTAAGGGAAGGATCTCCAAATTTGAGACTACATGTTAGTTTTGGATGGATTTGGCAGCCTGAGATGATACTCTGCCAGCTGTGAGGGGACCCTGTTTTTATGATGCATGGCCAAGCTCTCTGCAAATGGAAATGCTTGCACTGGGTGTTGGGGATGTTTGCTACCTCCTGCTATCTTTGTGGTTTTGGTCCTCCCGCTATGGTAGGACCCCTGGCCAGCATTGTGGCTTGTTATGTCAGCCCCATTGGCTACCTTGTCATGCTCTGAGGTACCACTGCCTCTGTAGCACAAGTTTTATTTCCTTCAATAAAAGAAGATGAAAATATTCTACTTGGAGTATGCCTTTCTTTCTTCCTTTCCTTTTTTCCTTCCTTTTCTAATTTTTTATTTTGAAATATTATCAAACTTAAGAACAAGAAAAATACATATATTATAAAATATATATATATTTTTCTTCCTGAATCATTTGCGATTTAAGTTAGAGATAAGATCCCCCTTTACCAGTATATACTTTAATGTGTATTCTTTCTTCTTAACACTTTTACTTTAAATATAAAGAGAAATGGGCCAAAAATGTTTGTATATTATGAGATATTGGCTCAGGCAGTTATGGAGGCTGAGAAGTCCATGATCTGCGTCTCTGGAGACCCATGAAAGCCAGTGGTGTAGTTTGAAGGCCTGAGAGCCAATGCTGCAGATTCCACTTGACGTCTGATGCCTGGGAATCAGGAGCACCATGGGCAGGAGAAGATTGATATCCCAGCTCAACAGTCAGGCAGAGAGCAACCTTCCTCCACTTTTTTGTTCTACTTGGGCCCTCAATTATTTGGATGATGCCCACCCATACTGGGGAGGACTTTCTGCTTTACTCAGTCCCACCAATTCAAATGCTAATCTCTTCTGGAAACACCCTCACAAATACACCCAGAAATAATGTTTAATCAGATACTAGGCCCAGTCAAGTTGACAGACATAAAGTTAACCATCACACGCCCCGTCCCCACCTCCAGGTGAAGGAGATAACTCCAGGAGGCCATAAGTGAGCCAACAGCTCTTATAATGCTGTGTGGTTATGGCTTTTAGGTCAAGGGGTTAAAAGTGATAAGATTGGTGACCCCCAATATTGTTGTATGGAAAAAAAATACAAAGGCACAGGAGATCCTCCATGCAGTTACTGAAAGGACAAATACAGTTGGATTGCTTATATGTAAGACAGAAGGAATGTTATAGCCCATCAGAAGACAAGAGTGCTAAGGGCCCCAAGACTGTACCTTCTCACTTTGAGATCAGTGGTAAACTGGTTAGTCTGATGAGCCCTGAGGAACTGTTAGCTGATTGCCCCTCTGGAATCTGAGAGTTGTCTGATTAGTTAGGTGTTGGCTATCCTGTGAACTGTCCAACACTCAATGTAAGCATTATAGGGATGACTGTTTACTAGTGAGATATCTAGACATCAACTCAGATAACAGAACATTCTTCATGCCCGGGCAGCTTAACACAGCATGCTTCCATGCCTTTTCCTTCCTGTAGAATGTGGAGGCAAGAGAACTTTGAAACTCTCTACTCATAGACAATTGCAGCTTGTCTAATTCTCTGTGTGTCCTGAACACATCTATCCCATGTGATAGTTATGTAGCAATAGTTTCCTATTGCTACATAACAAATTACCATAAACAGTGTGGCTTAAAGCAACACAGAGTATCTCACTTTTGCTATAGGTCAGAGGTCTGGGCCCAGCATGGCTGGATTTTCTGCTCAGGGTCTCATCAGGCTGAAATCAAGGTGTTGGCCAGGGCTGTGGTTCATTTGGGGCTTGGAGTCCTCGTCCAGGCTCACAGGTGGTTAGCAGAATTCATTTCCTTGTAGTTGCAGGACTAAGATCCTTATTTTCTTGCTAACAATCAGCTGAGGACCAGTCTCAGCTTCTAGAGGTTGCCTCTAACTTCTTGCTACATGATGGCCCCTATAGGCGATTCACAAAATGAATGTTTGCCTCCTTCTAGATCAGCCAGAGCACATCTCTCTGACTACTACTTCAGCAACCAGCCAGATAAAACCCTGCTTTTAAAGGATTCATGCAATTAGGTCAGGTTCATGTAGTTATTCACCCTATCCTAAGGTTAACTGATTTGGGAACTTAATTACATCTGGAAAATCCTTTCACCACAGTACCTAGATTACTGCTTGACTGGAAAACTGGGAGAAGATAAGTGTAGCCCAAAGGCTGGGAATCTTGGAGGGCTGTCTTAGTTCATTTGGGCTGCTATAAGAAAATACCACAGACTGGATAGCTTATAAATCACAGAAATTTCTCAGAGTTCTGGAGGCTAGGAAGTCCAAGATCACGGTGTCAGTGCAGTCAGGTCCTGGTGAAGGCCCTCTTCCAGGTTTCAGACTGCCAACTTCTCGCCGTGTCCTCACATAGTGGAAGGGGCTAGGGAGCGCTATGGGGTCTCTTTTATAAAACCACAAATCACCTTCATGATCTAAGCACCTCCAAAGGCCTCACCACCTCGTACCATCACATTGGGCATTAGGATTTCAACTTATGAATTTGGAGGGTCATAGCAGGGGCCGTCTTAAAATTCTGCCCAGCACACCCTGCAAGGGTCTATCTGCTCTCAGCCAACTGTTAAGGACCCAGGAGTTAGGGAATAGGGAAATAACTGGAGTAGTACAATGGTAGTGCAGGGACCTGAATCTAGATATTCCTTTCCACACCTCTGCACTTTCCCCCCATCCTGATTCTCTTTGGCAGTTGAAAAGTCTGCACAATACCCTGTACCAAGAGTGGGCAGACACCAACCTGAAGGCACTGCTAGTGCTATGAGGCTGGCTAGTGGTGGCCTATCCAACTGAGATCACAATAATACCTGCATTTGATTTTATTCTATGCCTTGCCACAGGAGCACTGTGCTATGTGTCCTCACCCTAGGGTGTAAGTAAATGCAGTCCACCTACTATGGGATCATGGAGGAAGGAGATTGGTGGGGACGGGGCTACTCCTGGGTTCCTGTTAAGGGCGAAATACATAGATATTTTCAGAAGAAGCCTCTCTCCAGAAATAAGGGAATACCTGAAACCCTGGGAACCATTTGGAGGCAATGCATACTATCTCATAGTTGGATCCCTTCAGGATTCTCCCCCAGGCCATCCCATTCTTCAGGACATCTCTTACTGACAAGGGCTCCTTTGCTAATCTGTCAAAATGCTGGATCAGTCATCAGTTACTGGATGCAGGAAGGGAGAGCTGGAAGCACTCCAGTGTTTCCTAATATTTAGCTACTCCCAGTTTCCTATCCTACTCCATTGAATTACACTGCCCACTACTTGCCTATGAAACTGTCAACAGTGGACTCTTAGGTTCCATGTCTAGCTATTCCTCTACCTCCTGGGATGACACAGGATTCAGGGTCATTGGAAAAAGGCTTGGGAGCAATCCTACAGGCCTTGGTTAGACTCTATTCAAGCCCTGTAACTATGAATGTTGCCTGTAACGCCACACGATGTGCGCATGCGTGTACACACACACACACACACACACACACACACACACACACACACACACACACACACACATCTCTCTGGACTGGATAATATGCACCTCCCTAGGCTGCTTCCTGTGTGGTCAAATGGGCTTCACCTCTTTGCCTCCAGTGGCCATGACCTATAACCCTGAGGTGATCACCAGCTGTTTCATGTTTTTCGGGATTCTCAGGCCCCCATAGCATCAGCTAGCCTAGACTTGAAGGAGAAAACTTTCCAGTTCGCCGTGGGGAGGGAGGACTAGGAGACACCACATAGTCTTATTCCTGGATAGGGGGTAATTGAGGCTGAAGACAATAGGAAATCTGCCAGTTACTCTAGGCTAAATAGCTAATGAGACCACTGTAGCCACCCAGTGGATTAGCCTGGACTCCTCAGCTAGGGTGCTTTTATTTTTATTATTGTTATTGTTGTTATTTTAACCGGGGTAGATTTAGACCATAGAATTGATCTTCATAATTTGACAGCCAAAGGGCTGTCTGTGCCCTAATCAACACATGCTAGTGTTTATGGATCATGATTAGTGGCAAGTAGAATAATCAGTATTCTGCATATGGGTAAAGGCAGTATAGTTACCTAATGTACCCCAGTCAGAATCTGGTACCTCTTGTCTGACTCTGAGCTTCCTCAGCTCCTGATTTAGGGAAGGGCTATTTATGGTTTTCTCTATTTCTGTGATTTTCAAAGTGTGGATCCTGCATCAGCAACATTAGCATCACCTGAGAATTCTTCAGTAATGCAAATTCTCAGGATCCTCTGTGGATCTGCAACCTGCAGATAAATCTTCCAGGTGATTCTGATACAGCTCAAGTTGGAGAACCACTGCCCTAGTTGCTGTATTAACATTCTCTCAGGGTTGCCTATAGATTGATATGATATATATTACTGATGGAATGGGG